TATTATGTTAAGTCAAACATTGGTTTCCACTTCGGTGAATCGCAGCATGTATTATTAATGAATAAGAACGGGAACAAATTTCACGCCTAAACCGCTGGGAAAGCAGTATAAAAGACAAAATAAAAAGGAGATTTATTTCTTACAAGTGTTTCTTTTACATGAAATTACTTATTATTTTGTAGTACACAATGGGTTATGTGTGTATTTTAGTTTTATACATCAATTCGTAAACTATAAATATCTAGATGAACTTAAAATTGTGAAAGTTAGGAATTCTATTTATACAAGTAGTTTAAGTCTAAACGAAGCGGTCATTCGTGTCATGCTATGATAATAAATAACAAACTGGAGAATTTTTCAGGAAATGAAATGCAATTATATTCAACAATAAATTACATTTTTTGTCTTTTCCGTAGATTCTTTCCCTGATTGCACTTCTGACATATTTTTTGTCGTGAATATTTCAATGGACCATGATTTCTCGAAATATTTTACTCTATTTTGTTTGAAGGCAATCGGTTTTATGGTGGTTTGAGTCCGTATACTGTGACATTTAAACAACAGAACCTTTCGGTAGTTTGAACATGAGGTGTTATGGGTGTATAGAAATGTAAACACAGAAGGTCTTGGAGCAATTCAACAAAATAGTGGATTGATCTCCCAATAATCAATTAACAGCAGTTCCTCATATATCATCAATGTCAAGTAGCTTTTATAGCTTTGACTCCCGCAAACATAATGTTGTTAAATTTCCTCATACCTGTCTTAAATTCAGGTAACATTCTTTCATTTTATTGATAAATAATGTTTCACCATATAACACAAAAAATTCTGAATTTTGTCTCAAATTCATCTCAATTATTTTCATTCTAGTGTGTGCTATACTTTCAGTATTTATCTGGGACTTGGAAATATATCTATTGTATCTTAAATCACAGGTATTAAAAGAAACCTTTTTTTAATTTGACAAGAAACAAAATGCATAATATTACTATATTAATCCCTTTTGTTACTTTACTTGTTACAATTATAATAATAAAATAACAGACTTTGTTCACTTTGACTATGATCCAAAGGTAATCCATACAAAGGACATGCAAAGGACATTTTGAAAAGTAAAGTCCATAAAAGTTTTTGTTTTGGCCCATTTACATATCGATTGTATATTTCTTACCATGATTAGTTGTTGATATTTGTAGAAAATGAGTAGCGTTAAAGGTGATAAACAAATGTACATGCTTTGATATTTTTTATCATCTTATATTACTGACTACAGTAGTGACACAAACAAAACAATGTTGCACTACTGTCATGATAAAATGCACTATTGTCAAGATGTCAAGATAAAATGTCTCGCGGGTTTGAAATGGCCGTAATTGGGCACAATAAATATGGACTGTGAACATTTCAAATTCTTTCATGTTTGAAATTTTAGTTATAAAATTATCGAAACACAAGGTTCATATATCTAGGTAAGGGTTCAATTTGAGGTGCTAATAATTGAGTTTATATCCTTAATAGAAGAACAACAAAAAATATGTGTAGAACAACATTTAGTTAGCAGTATAATATTTATACGTATGAAAGATTAGTTCTCAAAAATGTTCGCTTTCGAGACGTATTAAGGAATAGTTTAAACATTGGCTAAAAATATTGCTAGTCGCATTTCATAAGTGAAGCACTTTGTTTCCATTTATGTCAACATTTTTTATCTTTGATACCATTTAATATAAGACAATATCAGATGTGTCCATATAAAACTTGGTCTGCATATATTAACTAATCAGTCAAATAAATTCGTGAGTATCTGACAAAACTATGCAAAATATGAATTTCAGGTAAGACAATCCAAATCAAGATACAAAATGTAGGATCTAACACACTATATGTCTGACATTGAACAAATAAATATCCAAACATAAATATGAAAATGGCAAAAAAAAAGAAAAGAAAAGAAAAAGGCAGATTAGATCAGAACACCTACATACAATATTCAGGTTTAATTACATGTATTTAGACCCTAGATATTGCAAAAATACAAGGAAGTAAGAATTAATACACTTTTAATACTACATGCTTGTCTGGAGTACGAGGGGTGTTCAAATTTGAATGCAACTGTGTCAATTTTCAGAAGAGCTTAACAAACCGTCCCAAAATAATTATCTTAATCTTTCAAAATACCAACAACCATGAAATGTACAACGTTTTAGTCATTTTATCAAATTTTTAAATGCGTTTTCATAATCTTTTCGAGGTATATTGTTCAGACACTGGAAAATAGCCGAACCGAAACATTTCCGTGTTTGATATTTTCTTCCAGCAAGGTGTTTTTTTTAGCCTCGGAAATGGAAAAAAGTCACAACGGATAAGATCTGGCGAATAAGGAGGGTGAGGAAGCTCGACAACCCTTTCCTGTTTAAATGTTCTCGTACAATGGCCGCTTTGTGCGACGAAGCATTGTCTTGCAACAACCTGACACCAGAAGACCAGTTGCTGGTCGACTGTTTTTGAAATATGTCTTCAATTTATAAAGGACATTGGCTTAATAAAACTTGGCATTTACCGATTTCGCCTTTGGTACTGCAATGTGAATAGCAGGACATTGAATGGTCAAATTACATATAATGCCTTTTCGACGCTCATGGTGCGTTTTGCTAGGGAAGGTCTTTGACTGCCTTTGATTGTTCATATTTTGTTATGTATCTTTTGCTTGGGCTCATAAAAGTAAACCCACGTCTCATCGCCAGTGATGATATTTGCAAAAGATCTATTGTTGTATTAAGGGAGCTGTTTCAACAATTTTTGCAGATTCTTACCCGAGCAAGTTTTTGCTCTTTTATAAGGAGATGGGGTATCTATCTGGCACTTATCCTTCTCATTTTTAAATCACGCCTGAGAATTGTATAAGCGGCCCCTACAGAGATACCAAAGCAAATAGCTATATACCTTGTTATAAATGCAATCAAATCCTTTACCTTATCAACCATTTTGGCACAGTTGCAGTTTTTGGACGGCGTGCATGATGTGAATCTTTTAATGAATCCAAACTACTTGTAAGTTTCTTACAACACCGTTTGACAGATGAAAAAGACATAAACACGACATATTTCATTAAATATGTCTTAAGTCTGTATACAAAGAATACAGCAGTTCATGATATAGGACCTAGTAGGTCAGTGAAGACTTTTCCAACCATTTTAACTCTAGTATACACAAGTAGATAACGTAAATCGAGCTACTGAACTGATTTACATATGTATTGTATCAATTGAGAGCTTACACAATTATCTATGCGATAATGTACATAGTTCGCGCGAAACGTGAATAAAAGCGAGATGTTCACCTAGATGCATTCATATTTGAACAACCCTCGTATAAGTTTTGAACTATTAATAAGATAAGAAGGTAAGATAATATTGTTTGTGAATGTTGGAGGTCCTTTACAAAGTTTTTGTTCCTAATAAGCTGTTTAATTCTTTGTGCCCTGTTGTTGTTTTCAAAGGATTTCTACTTTACCTGCTGCCTAGGCCATATCTGAATTCTGTTGCTTTTCGGCAATTGATGAAGAAACATTTCTTTAACTTTTTTGCATGGAAGTCAGAGTAATATTTGTTTGCATTTTTCTTTACTTTTCTGACAGGCAAATTTGTATTCGGCACTTCCTTTTCCAGATGATTGGTACGTACTATGCTCTTAAGTCAGTATTTGAGCATAATGATGCTCATTATTGACCTCTCCGGTGCCTTAAATAGTATTATGTAAATACATAAAACTTAATATCTGTAAATATTTTTTATTTAATGGAATTTTTTTTTTATTTTATTTTATTTTTTTTTTTTGGGGGGGGGGGGGTGTTTGAGTTTAGCGGAATGTTCATAGAATTACTATCACTTATTTTTATGTATTCTTGTAATCATTGTTATATCATTAAATATAAAGATTTTTTACCATATTATAATGGTTGTCTGGAAATATTTTCCGAACCGCTAGGTGAGTATTATATTGCAAACAACTGTATATAAACGGCCATATTACCTGTCAGAAATGCATATAACAAATTTATAATTCAGCAAGTATCTTTTTAAAGAATAAAGAATTCATGAATTAAATTGACATTAGTCGTGTATATTATTAGTTATAAATATTTTGACATGTTATATTGCCCTATATAAACGGTTGTTTGTAAAATTAATCTAAACCGAGCCGCTAGACGAGGATTATATTGCAAACAGCCGTTTATATACGACCATATAACCTGTCAAAAATATTTATAACGAATTTATAATACAGCAAGCATCATTTTAGAGGAATAAAGCGAGATTTCTTTATAAATCGTTATCAGCCGTGTATATAAAACTATATAAACGTCAAGCTTATCGAATGAAAAGCGACGTTACAAACGTGCAGTATTATAAAACTCTTTATAAACGTCTCGATTATTAAATGAAAATCGACGGTACAAACGTGAAGTAGTATAATATTGTATATTATGTCCGGTTAAAATACGTTGTATAATTAAAATACGATGTAGTTTCACGGATATGAATTTAGTTATTTAGATATTATACAAACAGAAAATATATGCGAGAACTTAGAATTAACAGAACATAGTAGTAATACATAATAATTTTGTTACATGGCAATTTTTAATACTGTCAATTTAAACACATTTATGGCAATTTTTAATACTTTCAATTTAAACACATTTATGAATTTTTAATCAAACAAGAAATTACGAATTTTTTAAAATAGATTATAATTCTATCCTTATAGAAACATTGAACACAAATGTTTTGCATAAATAATTGTAAATATGAATGTAGGTAAACAGAATGTAGGTGATAACACCCCAAACAAAATGCCCGTGCTTAAGCAAAACAAATGCATGTATCGTATCAATAAAGATTTTAGTCTCTTATGAATGTAAAAGAGTTTGTCAGCGTCGCTTCCCTCGTTAAACATAATTACAGAATAAAATAGATGCGTAAAACTCTTTGCAGGAACAGAAGAAGAAAGAGTAGCAGTTTCAGTTACTGACCAAAAGAAGCAGGAAGACGGATATACCAGAAACAGCGAAACGGAATCAGAATATACTGAATTTGACCGAACTGGTAATAGTAATGAAATTATTTATTTTTTAATCTGGAAGTCGTAGTACGGCTCTAAATAAAAAAATAAGTTTCTGAATATAACCAACTTGGTAATACAAAAAAATCAGATGTTCGGTGAGAATCTTGATGAGATAATTGAATATAAGTTTAAGTCGGTATATTGCAATTTGGGTAGGGAATAAAGATTAAGCGATTAACTTGGTCTGTGATACTGTGTAAAAATGTTTATTTAGGTATATTACAATCTTGGTATGGTACATAAAAATAAAAAGTTGAATGCTCGACCTCAGTATAGGAAATTCAATGAAAATTTTAGGCAGGAATAAATGAAATGCTCAAATGTAGCAAAGTTGGTAAGATATTAACTACAACATAAGTGGCGTATATGGAGAAAGAAAAAATAGTTCATTTTTATGGCCGATTTTTTTCCCGAAACCCTAACAAAATATAAAAAGTAAAACGATTTTGAGAAAAAAAAAAGTTTTCATTTCGGGGCACTAGTGGACATTTGATTTCCAAACGTGATGTACAAGACAGTATCTAAATGCAAGAAAGAAGCATTGATATCATCTTTCGGCTTGATAATATCTATGAGTCTTGATATAACTTCATACATAAAAACCATCGATAAAAAGGTTTTTGAGGATTTTAATATTTCTCTGTTCTTTCAAAGTTTCTTTGAGATTGAAAAAAAAGTTAAACGAATATTGGATAGATGTAAAAGAATTGGTATAACAGGTGAAATATTAAAGAAAATAGTGGATCGGGTTACAAATATTATTTAACAAGGCAATTGATAAACCCGTCATATGCTCCTCGAAGCAGCAGCCAAAGGGACATGTGCAAGGCAAGTACATACAGGCAAAGTCATAAAGTGGGCACAGTTTATTTTACATAAAAATATCAATGAATGTTTACCGATTATATCATCTACCACTGCGTGCAGTTTAAACAAATTATGTCCAAGCGTTTTCAGGTAATGCTCCGGACAGACAAGATTTTTCTAAAACGGGAGATAACTAAAAACGCGGCAAAACAGAGTTATGGTTCTGAAGCAATGCCCTCCACCTTAACACCCTCTACCACTGTGTGCAGTTTATACAATTTATGTCAAAGGATGTTCAAGTTATATTCCGCACTATATTTTTCTAAAAGGGGAGATAATTCAAAAACGGGGCAAAAAAGAGATATGGTTCTTTGACTCGCACTCCGCCTCAATGCCTCCTCCAAAAACCTTTTAAAAGGGGCATTTTTTAAAAAATTTTTTCCAAGGGTTTTTCCCCAAAGTTGTCTTCGGACAAACAACACGGACAGAAACATATTGACAGAGAGACAGACGTGCGAGCTTAATTGGATGCCTTTTGTGGCAGTAAAAATTAAAAAGTTTGCTAGGAAAGGTCTTGATTTTCCTTTTTGGTTCCCAAATTTTGTTATTTCCTTTTCGTTGACCTAAAAGTTAAAAAAGTTCTAATCGCCATGATTTGATTTTTAAAAACCCCTTTGTTTTTCAGGGGGGCCACAAGCAAAATTTTTTCCCAAAGACATTTTTGCTCTTTGAAAAGGGGGGGTGTATCAATCGGGCACTTATCCTTTTTAAAACAAAAAATTGAGGGGCTCCTACTAAATTCCCAAATTTTTATTAAAGCTATATCCTTTTTTTGAAAACGTTTGGCATCAGTAGCAATAAAATCCTTTTTTTTTTTAAACTTTTTTTTGGCAAAGGTTTATTTTTCTCGGCTTTCCTTTCGGGTTGCATTTTTTTCTAATCCACCCTTTTAATTTTCCCTTACATTTGCTTTTGGGGACAGATGAAAAAAAAGTTCAGTGTTCCCATTAATACGACATATTTCATTAATTATAACTTTCGCCTGTATATCATGAGTACAGCGGTTCTTGATATAGGACTGTATTTGGTCAGTGAAAGGATACCTTTTACCAACGATTTTAGCTTAAGTATATACAAGAAGATAGCGTTTATCGCTAGACTGAACTGATTTACAAATGTATTGTATCAATTGAAAGCTTACAAAACCTTGTATACGATACATGTACATATAATTCGTTCAAAACCTTGTTAAAAGCTATATATTGGCATAGTTGCATTCACATTTGAAACCCCTCGTACATCAAATGGAAAAATAATATCGTATTGACATTGATTTTGCGGGAGTAGCAAGGAGTGGGTAAAAAATACTAAGCGAGGTCCTCATACGAGCTTGATAATGTCAAGTAAACTCTAGTTATTGACCTGAACAAAATTCGTCTTTTTTAGTAAAAGTGTCATTGAACACTACCCTACGTAGCGCTAAAGCAAACTAATGTTAGGTCGTAATATAAATTTGCTGTACACAAAGTTTGGTTGAAATATCTCATAATCGAACAGAAACAAATTTTCTATATTTAGTAAAATGACATTGACCTTGACCCCAGGGAGATCCTAAAGCAATCCCAGCCTTGGTCTCATGGTCTTATTGCAATAATTCATTCGAAAAATCAGTTATTGAACGGAAACCGATCTTCTGTTTAAAATAACATTGACATTGACTTGATCATAAGGAGGCTATAAAGCATTCCATAGCAAGGACTTCACATATGCTTTATAGGAAACAAATTTCAATGTAATATCTCATTCTAGTTATTAACCGGAAAAAATATTTCTCTATTTAGTAACTGTTAAAGCGAGCATATCCCTACAGAACCCAAAGCAATCCCAAGCGACGGCTTTGTTTGCAACTCATTGGAACATCTCATTCCTATATATAGTCTTTGACCGTCTATCGTTTTTCTATATCTATAAAGTTACTAAATCTTAACCCTAGTTGGCCCTAATGCAATTACAAGCGATATCTTACATACCATGTTTTATTTAGATAAACGAGTATCATCATTGGTTCTAGTTATTGACCGGAAACCATCTTGTTTGATGAACGTCCGTCTGCCCATCCGTGGTCGCGAGTCCACTTTAAAACAATCTCATTTCCAGGAGTTTTAATTTTGAAACATCTAGGTAAATATTTGCGATATGCAAACTGAAAATTATTCAACTTCTAATCCTGCTAAACCGAATATGAACAGTTTTTACCACAAGTATTAAGCCAAATCAGACTACACAACCATGCTGTCTGACAAGGCTCTGCATTGTTTTGTTTTCTTCCGTATAAAGAAAAACCAACACTGTGTTGGTCACATGGCCACAATCATGTTTTCCTGGTAGAGTAAAACCTCATTTGTCCGTCCTAGCATTATTTCAAACACAACAAGCATAATTATGATAAAGAACAACCAACGTCCGTACGCTAGCTGGATAGCTTCCTCATATCAATAAATTTACAGAAGTGTGGGTCAAATGGTTTGAAGCAAATGACCAGAACCACTCGTCGCAGGGGCCCCGACCAGGTTCTAGACTGTTGGTAACTTAACTAGTGAAACTTTTTACCTCTTAGATTATCTGTTCAATCGCAATCTTTGCAAATCTTTTACACAGCAGGCTAAATGTAAATTTTATTTGTTTGTTTGATATCGGCTCCTCATCAAAAGCCAGGTAAATTCAACTGAAATAAGAATACATTTGTGTAGATTAGAAAACTTAGGCGAGCTCGATGTACTTTTAACGTGAAATGGTATGAAATAATCGCTCATTTTTATTTCAAATGCAGTGACGAGTGCGTGTGACGTCACACGTACTGTGTTAAAGATTGAGACTAAAAAAAGGATTGGAGCACCACACTAAATACCGTATTCCGGTATACCGGGCAAGGCGCTTGAATAATAAAATGCTAAAATCTTGCCTTTTTTACCTAACGGAATGAACTTTAATAGGTCTAATTCATTTTTTCACACCGAATTAAGTACAATTATGAATGAAAAATGTAAAAATCGGCGTAAAAAACGATATTTGTCTATTTTGTGATCATGATTTCTGCAAGCGTCTAGAGGTTATGCTCCAACCCTGTATTGAGTTAAATCCCTGTGTTAAATATGGCTCCGCCCCTGTCGTTAAATGAATAACGAACGAGTTTTAGAAACGTTGATAAAACTTTGTTTGTTTATTTTATTTCACTCTATCATTTTTCAAGCGAAATAAAGATTATTAAAAGTGAAATAAATGTAAACTTAAAACTAGGGATGGCAACGAATACCAAAATCAATACTCGAGTACCCGCTCATTTTTCCGATCGAGTACTCGGTTACTCGGATGATTTCCAGTGATCTTCAAAGTTTAACACAATATCAACACCGTCTGCATGCTACATTCGTTTTCTATTTAAATTAATAGAATTCTGTAGATAGTAAATATGACTGCACGGGAGACAAATTAATTATAATTAAATCAACAACATAATATTTTACGTTTTGATTAATGCAATATCAAGTTTTAAACAAGTATAACAATTCATATATCTTTTTTCTTCTTGAAATAGTATAGACTGATCGGCGGGGCAACAAAAGTCTAACCGGGTCTACTCTAAATACTAGCTACCTTTATTCTTACATTCATGATAGCAATCGCCCTTTGTTGTTTTCAAAGCAGTTACTTCGGCTATACAATTAAAGGTAATTAAATATCATAAGAGGGCTGGATGATATAAGCGAGCAGGTGAGCGTGCCAAACTTTGATCGCCCTCGTTAAAGTTATGATATCATTTTCGCACCTCTGCAATGATGCTTTTGATTGCATTTAACGGGTATGTATGAAGATACATGCACATCTCCGAATTTTGAACCAATTGGATACACCAATCTTTCTAAATCGCAAAAAAATAGAAAAAATATATATATTTTCCGCAGTAATCGGATATCAGTTTTGTTAACCGATATTCGGACGTTCGATCGAGTACTCGGTTAACCGGTTACTCGTTGCCATCCCTACTTAAAACGTTTGCGACATTAAAATAGCGTACTTGATTTGATTGTTTTGCACTAGCTGTTTGGCGCTACATTGTGACGTCACGTGAACAATACTTTAAACGTCTGTACAGCGTTAACGACTGAATAAAAGATATTGGTGTTCGGACCATTTTCTTTCATTCTAGATAATTTCACAACAAAATTCGACAAAAAAATTGTTTTTATTTATCAGATTTTTCAAACAGAATGGCGCCTTCAATTTTCAATTTACATTTTCCGTTTTAAAACTGTCATTCGATATTTTATACACAGCTTCCGTTATTCTGGTTCCCTGTCCAATAATGGTTCCCATTGACGTGCGCGGGTGACCAGTTTACACATCCGTTTTCAGTCAGAATTCCTCAGTTTTTATCGTTATTTTTAAATTCGAAAAGTTGCGATGTGTCCAATTCGGTACTTCGGACGAAAGTTTTCAAAACCATCACTTAGCAGGTACTCGCGTTACCGTAAAGCTCGCTTTGCGAACAGGCCATTCGGGCCAGCTCGTCGAACTCGCTATTATGAACAAATTATTAAGACTAAAAGTTTCTGCACATTTAAACCTTTCTTTCTTTTGAGCTGAAATGGATTTATATTTCTTGTTAATTATTTAAACTGAGCGTTATTGTACAAAATATAAGAACTATCTATGTAGTAAATTCACAACTGAAACGGCACATTTAACCAGTAAAGGACTCATTATATTCATTTTTTGTTACGAAAACTATATAGCTTAAAATATAATCAAGGTTGTTTCCTTGCAGAAGCAAGTAGACGACGTGGATACATCCCTGGGAATTACGTAAGGCAAGATGAAGATATAAATACATGTGGTGACCTTACAAATGAATTGGAGAAGGTATTACTTCGTCGCCGTGCTGCGTTAGAGAAAAGTTCTTCAAATGAAAAAGTAAATATGTAACTTACAGGAAGTGATGTTTATATTTCATCAATATCATATCGATCCTAATTGTACATTATAGACTTAAGACATATTGTATTTCAAGAAACAAGACATATTTTATATTCAATAAACAAGACTTATTATATCACAGCAAAGCAAAATACATATTATGGTATTATTCAGATCACTTAATAACCATAAAACATAAAAAAGATACACAGATAGTTTAAAGTATGTTTTCCTGTTTTCACTAAAAAAATTAAAAGTGTAAACATTTAAACAACAATATACAATATTGTTTCTCCAATTCACATTTAAATATTCTTAAGTACAAGTGTTGAATGAATTCTGAATTACACTTGTTATCCGTAAGAAATTTCTCAATATATGTAATATATTCAGTTCCAGACCACATTAAATAACAGATGAAGCTCTAAACATGATAGTTGATAAGATGCTAGTTATAGAATGAAAGTATATATCTTTATTATTTTGTTATGTTCAATATTCACAAGGGCTTCCAAAATGACTGCCACTATAATAAAAACCAGTAAAATCAATAAATGATTACAAGCAATGCAAAGAATATTAACACAAGTGACTAAAACTAACATATAGGGATATCCATTAATACATTACTGATGATGTCAAATGTATTCCATTCTTTGTCATAAAAAGGTGTTTTATTTTAGCTTGACAATTGCACACGATCATGACATTTCTACATTTCTTGCAACACACACTGGATGTAAAAGCATGCACACAGGTGCGCTCCTGCCCGGACACTCACATTTATCTCACACTTACTAACGACCTCAATAACTACTCATTACGTAGGTTTGTTTTCTTTTAAGTATCACATCGCAGCATCTGCGATGCCGTGGCATATAGCGATTCACATGTGTGTATGTTTGTGTGTGTGTGCGTGTGTGTATGTGTGTGTGTGTGCGTGTGTGTGTGTGTGTTATAGTGAACTTAAACATCTTTGTGAAAAACAACAAGCCCAATTTCAACCAAAATTGGCCGTGCAGAAATCGTGTTGCCATGGCAACCAAAAGAAATTATAAGAATAAATTTAAAAATGTTCTTGTAAAGACGCACAAGGCCTAGAGCATCGAAATTTTGCATAAAGCTTTGTCTGGTAGACCTCTACCAAGGTTATTCAAATTATAGCCTGGGGTCAAAATTGGCCTCGCCACGCGGTGTAATTGATTTTCACTATGTACATATAGTAAAAAGTCTCCTTGTGTGAGCTTTGATTTTGGTATCATCGATAGGTCCTCTACAAAAATTGTTTAATTTTCGCCTCAAGTGTCAAAATTAGCCCCGCCCGAGGGATTTATAGGTTTTCCTTATATGCATATAGTAAAAAGTTCTTCTCTGAATTGACAAAGGCTAGAGTTGAGATATTTTGCATCAAACATTGTATAGTGGTCTTCTACCTAGACTGTTCAAATTATAGCCCTGGAGTCAGAATTGGCCCGCCCAGGGGGTCATTGATTTTCACTATATACATATAAAAAAACTTTAAAAATCTTCTGGTATGAAGGTTCTATGCTTAGGACTTTGATAGTTGGTATATAATATTATTTTAAGGTCGTCCATCAAAGTTGTACAAATTTTGCCCCTGATGTCAAAATTGGTCCTACCTCTGGGGTTCATAGGATTCCCTAACATGTGTATAGTAAAAACTTGAAAAAGCTTCTCTGATTTGACAAAGGCTAGAGATTAGATATTTTGCATGCAACATTGCATAGGGGACCTCTTACGAGATTGTTTAAATCACAGCCCTGGGGTCAAAATTTGCCCCGTCCCGGGGGTCTTTGATTTTTAATATGTACAAACATGTATTGTAAAAACAGAACTAAAACAAATGTTTTCTGAATAGAAGAAAGCTTGAGCTTAGATATTTGACATGAAACATTGTCTGGTGGGCCTGTTTTAAGATTGTTTGAATTTTAACCTTGGGTCTAAGAATTGCCCTTACCAAGTGGACTTTGACCTTCTTTCTTATCCTTTGATGTTAAGCCATTTAATATGGACAATGCGCACAGTTTGAGATGTAAAATTGAATTTAATATTAGTGATCTAGACTTTGACATGTGACCTACTTTTTGTCTTTTGATGTACAGCCATATATTTTGGACCATGTGTCCAATTTTAAATGTCAAATTGAACTTTGATATCAGCTGAGTCCCAGATTTTGAAAATGTGACTTAGTTTCTTGTCCTTTGGTGTACAGTCATTAAATTAAGGCCATGTGAAATATGACCTTGACCACCAAATCCACTAGGCTCAACTGCATTATGGCAAAGTTAAATTGTATAGAAACACTTCCTTCACTTCTATTTAGTGCTGTATTATATAATCAGTGGTATAGCATTTTTCACAAATGCAATCTTGTTAACATAACTTCTAATAAAATTTGGATATACATTTTTTTATCCCGGCAAGGAAAGGAAACAAATGATAACGAAGTTATTGTTCATTTCTTTGACTTAAAATGGAATGTAACTCTTTGAAAACTACGAAGATGATTATCGAGCTCAGCAGCATCTTTCAGTAGCGTAACGGTCATGTAATTAATAATATGACTTACTTCCATGTAAGTGTCCTGTTGACCGGGTATTGCATTTATATATTAATCAGAAGAGTTAGAAGGACATTTTTTTTCAATGCATTTTAAAAAAAGGACGATCAATTTATACATCATGTATTTTTGACATACCTTCTTGACATCGAAATAACCCTTTTGATTCAGTAGTATAAAATTGCATCACTGTTACATCAAAATTATGTTCAAATCATTTCAATTTTAACTTTGTAGGTACATCGTCGGGGCATTGTGCAGACACATATTCAAGGTAAAGTTTTCAATTAATTTGATGTTTTAATTCACAAGCACTTTTTTCTAAAACATTTAAAAAAAAACAGAAACAAAAAAAAAACATTAAATATGAAGAACATGTATTCATATAATTTATAAGAGACAACAATAACACTAAGGCAATATCAAGTAAATTGATTAAAGTAAAAATAGATAACCTTTTTTGAATTAACAATAATGTATTAAGGGGCATCCGTGGCCGAGTGTTCAGGCTGATGACTTCAAACTACTTGTCCTATCCGCTGTGGTTTCGAATTACGAAAGGGACTTTGGTTTCTTTCATCTGAGGTAGCTATCTAGCTTGCTCTGGGAACGTCGGTTGTTCTACTCAAATTCCCGTTCGTGTCCGAAATTATGCACGGAAGGGCACCTAAGGTCTTTCCCCCCCATTTTAAGGGTTTTAAAACGCCAAAAACTTAAAACTGTGTCGGGGGAGACGTTTTAACCCCAAGTCTAAAAAATTTACAAAGTTTTTAAACATTATTTTTTTTTATAAACAAAAATATGCAACCGAAAATTGTACAAAACCCCTTGTACATTAAAAAATCTGAAAAATTTAAAACTTAAAAAACTATAATACCAGGGAAAAATTTTAAAAATTACAAAATAAAACCTACAAAGCCCCGGCAAAAAAAACCGACATTAAATTTTTAATTTCACACCGAAAAATTATAAAATTTCACTGTCATCCACTCCCAAAATTAAATTTTCTCAAAATTTAAAAAATTGAACAAAAATACGGTTAAAAAAAATTTTTTTACAGGGTTTCCGGCGTTTTTGATAAAAAGGAAAGGTGCCCCCAATTAAAAATAAAAAGGGGCGGCAAAAAAAGAACCTTCCTTTTTTTCTTCACTGGGCAAATGATTCAAGTTAACAAAAATAATCTTTTTTCCCCCAAAAATCTCTTACCTGTTCTTGGGAAAAAAATTTTCGGGAAAACCCCCTAAAAATCGGGCCCTTTGAAACATTAAATCTTTTCGAAATTATCCAAAAAGCGGGGAAAATCATTAAAACCCTTTAACTCTTAAAATTGTTTGGGGGGGTTGGACACTCAAATTCCTTTCCCGTTATTTGTTAAAAAATATGTTTCCAAAAATAACCGCCCGGGGCAAATGTAATAAAACCATTTAATAATTCCCAAAGGGTCAATTTTGTTTTTATTTTTGGGTCTTTTCCAAAACTAAAACTACTGTATATCTTTTTTTGTTTTCCTGTATAAAGTTTATTTTTGGGTTCTCGGGGAAGGCGCCTTTTTAGGAATGAGAAAGGGGGGACAGCAACTTCTCCAAACCCTTTTTCGGGCTAAAAAAAGCCGAAAAATTCCGTTTTAAAAAGAAAGGGGCTTGATTCCCTGCGGTCTGGAGACCGCAGGGTATTGGTACGCGTTTAACTTTTGAGGCATGGAGGAAGCACGTGACCTGTTTTCGGTACATGGAGGAGCATGTGATCTGTAAACCGTACATGATTGGTTAACTTGACCTTTACGGAAACCTGGATAAATACCGTTTGTCGTACGTTACGGATAATCCTCTAGGGAATAAGACACCTAATTAAGAACAAAAAACAATTACGTGATATTTTTAATTTTCTATAATATGTTACCGTTTAGGTGAAAAAAACTTGAATGATGTGTTTGAAAATTATCAATGTTTCTTTAATATGTATCTCAAAATGTTACAAACAATAAATTGTTTATACATTGAAAATCTACAAAATTAAATATTCGTAGTGGCATCTGCCATAATAAATAGAGATATTTTCTGCGAAACTTGTGTGTTTACTTTATTTTTTTTTGCTCGAATTATTCATAAAATGGTAGGCCTATTTAATTATTTTCTTAAAAACGAAATAGTTCTTTTATGTTCGACCTTCTCCGGTCATCAACGGTCACCAGTTTCCAAAGACCTTCTTCTATTTTTATCGATTACTGTCAACTATATTCCTGGTTATCCTCCCCCCCATTGAAAATAGTTAAATGAAAATATATTTATATCATTAAAAAACGTTCCCCGCAGGAAACCATTTTTACTTGTTATAATTTAAAAATGAAATGTCGCGATATATACAATGAATAGCGAACTGGAGAATTTCGCAATGCAAACATTTTCAAATGAAATAACCTTTTCCGTCGATAAATCGCGCTCTTCGGGGTATTTTTTATTTTATCATTTTGTAGTACACAGTGGGTTATTATGGTACATGTATCCCTAAGCTGAATAGAATGATGAGTTTTCCGAAAAAATCTATTTATAGAGGGATGTATTCCTATCAGGTAATTCCCCGGTCTCTCCTGGTCTATTTTTGACCGGAATTTACTAGTGACCGGCGAGTACCACACGTTTTATGTCGGTCTCTCCCGGTTTTGGAAGTAGATGTTTGATATCGTCACAGAACAGAACAAATATTTACAGTTATATAAGTTTTTTTCAAAAATGAATGTTGTCACTTAGTTTGGTTTACAATAATTAATAAACACAGATCAACTCTCAAATTTATTGATTATTATTATGCATAAACATACAATTCGAAAAAAAAAACAATAACATGTTTTATTTTATCTATATTGAGATACAAATGTACAATAATTGGAAAGAAAAAGGTACATTGTATATGGATTTTTAAAATCAAAACAATTTTATTATATTCGTGTTATTAAAGATTGCAAAGAATTTTATTTTAACCATATGAATCTTATCTGACTTTTTCCAGTTAAGAATATAAAAACAAATTATAATATTTTTACTTTAATTTATGGAAACTTTTCGTCTTGATAATAGCGGTCAAATATGACAATTGAATTCTTAAAATAGTAGTAAACGTAAAAACTCAGTATTAAAATAGCACAATAAAACACAAAAAGAAAAGAAAACAATATTCATAAAATCTGTATTTTTTTTTATTAAAATAGATATTACAATTATTTGTATAATAAACAATTATGCTCAACATGATCAACATGGATCAACATGGTAATGTAAACCAGTGTCATATTGTTAGTAAATACCTTTAGAGGGGTCTTCGCTAATAGCGATAACATAATAAGGGACAATTACACAAGTGTGGGTTTGATCATGCATTACACATATGGATTATAAATGATTGTATACATGTATATATCGGTTGCTAAAAATCATTTATGTTCATTTTTTATGATAGCCACACTTTATCCTTGCATATCGTGGCTATTTCCTTAACAAAGACACTAAAAAAAGAATTAAAAAAAAATGTTGACTCGACTGGGATTTGAACTCCAGACCTCTCACACATTAAACGAGCGCGTTACCCCTGCACCACGGAGAAGTTATAAAAACAGAGGCCCGAATAAATCAAATCTTCCAAAAATTTTGGGAATTTTTTATTTCATTTTTTGAAATAGGGTTTAATTTTTGGAAGGATTTTTTCAGGGTAAACCTTTTTTTAAAATTTTAAAAAATCAATTTTTTGCCAAAAAAAAGTTTTTGCCCAAACAGGATTTCCCAAAAAAATTTTAGAAACTATATTTTTCCAACTAAACCCGTCCCGGATTAATTTGTTTTTAGTATTTGGTAAACGACACGTAAATAGCATTTTTTTGAAATTAAAATTTTAAATTCCCTCGCGTAATTTTTTGAGTTTTGATTTATTAACAAATTTTATAAGCCCAAAAGCCCAAATTTAAAAAAATTTGGGTTGGTTGTAATTTGGGTTGGGCACTTGTAAAAAAATTGGGTTCCCTTTTTTTTTAAATTGCGGGGTGCGTTTTTATGGAGAAATCCTTAAAATTAACCTTAAAACCTAGGACTTAATTTACCCCCTTTAGGAAAAAAAAGATTTGCACTTAAAACCGTTCAAAATAAATGTCCACTTTTGTCTTAAAAATTAAAAACTTTTTGACCAATTTTCCCCTCCGGGAAAAAAGTTTTCAAAATTTCAATGGGATGCGATAATCCCGGATTGGAATTTTTTATGGAATTTTTAAAAAATATTTAAGTTTTAAAAAATAAGTAAATTTTCCCTTTATCCTGTTTGAGTTAAAATTTTTAACCATTTTTTAAAAAAAACGATTTAAAAAAAACCCTTTTTTTTTAATTTCATAGTTTTAAAAAAAGGACGAAAACAGCGCCAAAATAATTAAATTTTTATTTATTTGAGCGTCTTTTTTTGCACGCATATTTGGGGTACATTTGGGGAAATAAAGTAAACAAATCTTTTAAAAAAACTGTTTTTCAGCGTTAAAGGGCTGAATTTAAAAAAAAACTTGGAAAAATTCGGATTTATTTTCTTAGTTAGACCATTATCTATCATTCTAGATAGCTTTTTCAAAAACAAAATTCAACAAAGAATTTTTTGATTTGAGTGGTTTAACTTAGAAACAATCTTAAGATACCTTTAAAACCACTCCTAGACTTAGGACTGTTTTTGGTCATAAATTTAGGACTCCTAAGTTAGGACCTTTTTTAAGACTTTCTTTGAAACGCAAAATTGTCACTATTTTTGACTTAAGACAAACTTAAGACTTAGGACTCTCCATGAAACGCAGCCCTGGTTTTTAAGCAGTTTTGAGTGAGAACTACTTTGCGTCGTTAGGACTGTTAGGAAATTTTGTGTTAGACCGTGGATGTTAGCTATGTATTTACTGATCTTGCGATCACAAAATACAAAAACGATATTACACTAGTGTAATTATAACACTTTGACCCGGACGTAAATTTAGCTATTATAAAACATGCGTTAAAGAGCGCTAATTTAGCTGACACTAGGGCCGTCATTCGAAAATTATCATTTTAACATTTAAAAATAAATATTCTATTTCGTGTTAGATTCAATACAAATTTATTTAAACTGTTGAATCAAAACAATTTATGCTCGCCAGAGGGGCCGCATCATAATTTTATTCAACTCGTTCAATAAATGTAGTATTAAACTACACTTATGCAATATCCTCTATATAAATATTATAATTGATTCTTTTAATAGTTAAGACTTTCTTTACTGCGACCAGTATATAAAAGGTCTAGCGTACTATATCCTCTTATAGCTCTTGTTAATTTGATGTTGTTCTCTATATTAAGAATTCATGGATCCAGATGCTGAAGATGAACAAGTTGATACGAAGATGCCTTACAATGCCCATTATAGCAGAAGTTTCAAATTTCTATATACAACATGCAAGCAGCAATGACATATATAATTGTTCTCAAGAAATATGACTCATTTTTTACTGAAATTGGATCTCCTTTAATCCTTTTTTACATGATAAATACGATAAGGTAACTTTAAGATTTGGAATTGGTAAAAACGATGGTGATGATATGGCTTTTATTATTCGTCTCTAAGTAAACATTCTTTGAAATGTTTTGATTTTGTTTTATCAAAAGTTATTATCATCTTTGTTTACTTTCGAACTTCATCGAAGTCGATAAAAAATAAATTGGTACCTGGTTAGAATGGAAGCTAATGACTATTAACATTAATCTTTAACAACATATTTTAAAGCTGATGCACCTCCGATTGCGAGAAAACCCTCGCCAGGAACCATACGGCGACGAAGGAACACGTGGCACCAAAGTAGTGATACGGTAACTACGGTTATTACGTATGCTATTTTTCATATAAGTCTAATATCAACATATTTTGCATGTTTCATCCTTTCGGATTTGTGGTCGGCGAGGAAAAGAAACGATGATAACGGAACATATATTTTTTTAATTCCGGCTTTTTCGCCTATGTACTTTAATTGCCTTGGATATGTGATTTTTCAAGGAGTTAATGTTCATACCTTTCACTTCATACATGTTATATAATTCTTTGACAACAAGTAAGTTGATGATCAAGCTCATCGGAATCTTTTACTAGCTGGTGGTAATTTCTTTATTTTGACTTACAAAAGTGTCTAGTTTCAAGTTGATACCCAACCATAGCTTCATTGAATAAGTACGACCAATTTTACATGTCATTTACTTTTGACATCACTATCATCTTTTTAATCCATTAGTATAATTTCAATATTTGCACTTGTATTATTCGTAAAATAGTCATATTGCCATCGATTTTCATTTAAATTGCATCTCCATTATATCAAATTTAAAGTGTTTCCAAATCACTTCAATTTCAATTTTGTAGGTACAGCCTTGGGACATTGAGCAAACACAAAAAACAGGTAAAGTTTCAATTGATGTGATGTTTAAATTCACAAGCATTTTTTCTAAAACATTTTAAAAGAAAATATTAAATATGCAGTATTTATTAAATTGGTGATAGACAACCGATGTTAATTTGGCTATTTCAAGTAAATTGATTTGAATTAGAACTCTACAAGTTTTTGAATTAACGATGGTAAACGGTAAAGGTCGTTGACTTTAATCTATTTACCTTTCACTGCTGTGGTTTCGAATCCCAGAAGAGACTTTGGAGTCTTTTATGTTAGAAAGCTATCTAGCTATCTTGTGCAACGTCGAGGGGTTCTACATAAGCGCCAATTCATGCCTAAAATAATGAACGGAAGGGCACCTGAGGTCTTAACCCACAGTAAAGATGATGGAAAGTCACCATATGAACTATCCTGTGTCGGTGCGATGTAAACTCACAATGTAATAAAAATTATCCTTTTTATCAAACAGAAATATATGCCAAAAATTGTACAACAATTGTACAGTAAAAAAAGTTCTGAAAACCTTAGACTACCACTATACATGCCAGGGCACAAATATCAACACTACAAATAAGCGAACAAGAGCCAAGAGCAAAAGAAACCGACATTACTTCTAATTTCACTACTGAAGATTGATAATATTTCACTGTCATCACACTCCTCAATTTATTCTTCTCAAAATTCAAACCTGAACAATATACGTGTACATTCATATTGACTAAATAATACATTTGTTCTATAAGATATTTATCTTGATGGTAACAAGACCCTGTCCGTCTTGACAAAATGTCTGATTCTAGGATGATACCGATTTCAGAGGTTTATACATATATTGATACTATGTTGTGTTTAAACATTGACTTTGTTTAAATCCTTTTGTATTTATTTTTCAACCCTTTTATATAAGTCTGTGCAATTATAATTGTTTTGAAAAAAAAATGTTTTCTAAATTCGTAAATATTATTAAATATAAGATATTTAAACAACACATTATCTGAAATAGAACGTTTTGTTTTTGCTATTGAAATATATAAGTAATCGAATTTATTATCATTATTCTTACATAATATACTAATAAGAAATAAATTTAGCAAGTTCTGTAAGGGTACATTTAGATTTAAGTGCAATGTATGTATACATGATTTATGCGGTTAAAATGTCTAGGTTGACCTATGCCATAGATTCCATGTACAGTTGTACGCATCTGTGGTAATGATGTGTCAAAACGTGTAGTTACTGATAAACCATGGTAAGCACGTGCAGCACGACATCTGTCATGTATAAAATCAAGAAATAATACCCCCTTGTCAATCTTATACCATAACCAAATTACATTTGTATTTGGAAATGATTTAATGGTACGTGTTCCAGGAATGACATTACCTCAATGTCAAATGACTATTGGCATGCTCAATGTATGTATGCAAGGGAAGTTGAACGGCAATTTCACGTAGGGGAATCGACTATAAGTCGTCTAAAAACTAGATATCAGCTAACAGGTGATGTAAAAGACCACGAAAAACAACGTTGGCAAAATACCGTTTTATTATTGTGACGTCAGGGCGAAATCGATTTATGTTCCGTCGCAGGTTGGCTAATCATCTCAGAAATTCTACCGGGACGTGAATTTGTGACAGGACAGTGCGACAGTAGACTTCACGCTGCCAGACGTTGGCCTCAAGTGGGGATATCGTTAACACAAAATCATCGACAGGATCGCGTCGCTTGGGCTAAAATTCATGATTTACGTGTTGAAATGCAAATGGAGATGCATGCAATTGAGTTTTTGATAAATGTAGTCCAAACGTATCAAAATATTATATGCTAAACATTTTTCTTTCAATATTTCTTTCCCCTGGCTTGCGGTTTTGCGAACGGGCGGAGGACAATTTTGTCCCGGGCAAATCTCTGAAACACATTGAGGAATTTTAATGACATTTCGTGCTTATAAATCAGGTGTCTATGTCAAAGGTCATGGTCACACTTAGAAGTCATTAAAAAAGTGCTTGTTCGGAGCAAAACGTCGACATGCATAGACGGATCTCTATGACTTTGCACAAATGTTCACTCTTGTAAGGCGGAGTGTCGCGTGCAAAATTTATGACCAAGGTCATTGTCACACAAAAGGTCAAAGTTCAGAGGAAAATGTGTTTTCGGACCATTTAGCCTTCATTTATTGAGGGGTAGAAACACAAATGGTCATTATCATGACTACAGTGCTGAAACATGTAGTAACGGTCAATTTGTGCAAGGTTAGGGTCACAAAAGGTAGATAAAATGCAGATTTTTTGTCCAGAGCATATCCCCTACACATTTGGAGGGAGTCTAATTAAACTTTATAGAAATGTCCACCAGTATGAGAAGCAGTGTCAGAAGCATGAACCAGATCTCGAGGTCAAAGGCCAAGGTTACTCTGAGAGGTGATTGAATCCGCTTTTCCAGAGCAAAACATCTACATGCAAAGAGGGATTTCATAACCAATGAGATGAATATGTTACTGTTCTTTTTTGAGGGCATTAGATCTTTATGTTAGTTAGCTATATTTATTGAGCTGGACAGACTATATAGATATACAGGCTGGTTTTGTTCTATACAGGTGAAAAGGGTTGAACACTGTCGCCTCACGTAGGGATAATATAAATCATTACCTATCAGCAGCATAATAAAATACGTACGGAAATATTGTGTTCTTTAATGTTTGTGATTTTTTTTGCAATTTATCATTATAGTCACACCACAGCCATCTATGATAGACCAGAAAAAACTTAACATGATATGGAAAAGAAGGGAAGAAAACAAAACTCAAATCTATGACGAATGTGAGCTGATAAGCAAGTTCTTAGAAAATATGTCAAGCTCCATTGTGCACGTTTGGCCGGCTTACGACACAAAGGCAAATGATGATATCGTGTTTGTTGTTCTCACTTCTAAGGGCATCGAAGACAATCTGCAGGTCAAAGACAAACTTAAAAAGACTGGTTACAATGTCTTTGTTATTCATGTTGACTCATGTAGCAAAGAATCAGAACAAGTTTTACAAAAATTAGATCAACTGGAGACAAATCAATGCTTCTCTAAATTAGAGGATTTAGGAAGCGTAATTAATAAACACTCTGACCGTCTTCTTCGAAATCACCAATATATATCTGCTATATCAGGAAGTAATGTTAGATCTGAAAGGTTTAGTTTAGGGCAATCCGAGCATCTTGTTTCTTTCCAACCATGCATTGTTTTATATGTTATTGCAAAAGGTAAAATTCCACTGCACGAAAATAAATTTGAAGACAATTTAGATGGCATTCCGGTTGATGTTAGAGAGGGTATATTTCAGAGAACAATTTTGCCGTCGGAAAGGTATAGCAAACCTGTCAAAATGGGTTGTCAAATTACATCAAATAAGACTCCTCTTGAATCATTTGGAACACTGGGTGGTTTTTTCTATCATAAAGATTTTGGATTATGCGGTGTCACTTGTGCACATGTTGTGTTAGAAGAAGCAACGATACATGATATCAGAGGAGAAAAGAAAATTTGGTCAAAAGAGGAGTCGCCAATGGTTTTTCATCCAAACACAACACAACATGAATACAAGCTTGGTCCTGTGAAAGAAGCGGTTTACCGAACTGGAAGTGAAGATTCAAGTGGTATCGATATTGCTGTTTTCAAAATAGAAGGTGCAGCTCCTGATTCCGGGTTTTTCCCAGAAGAATCAGGTACTTAACCAAACTTCGACCTATAATACATCTATTTGATATATTTATCTTTAGATTCTGAAAGTTTGTCGCAGACTTAGCACTTCCTGCATACCAAACTTTGTACTGCATAATTTCTTTCTAAACTAGCTTATGGCATCTACCAGATTCCTACATATTCTTAATGATTAAACATATTATGCTTGATATTATGTCATGGTCCATGTTTCTTAAACCATTTTTATAAAAAGGCCATTTACAGTAAAGACAGAAAACATCAACGTTGACAGTCACATGAACTTAACAAGACATTAGAATACTTTGTCGTGAAAACGTCCCTGTTATAGTATTTTTGTTAAAGATATACTATGCTCATCTTTGAGTAAAATATTTTGATCGAAGAAATTTATTAAAACCTATGAAATTCTTACTGAATATGTTTAATTTGTATAAAAAAATGAATAAAACTGTACATTGGAAGTCACGTTCCCTATTATAGGACAAGTAAAGTTGGTCTTTTTTTAAAAAAAACTGCCAGTTTTTTTAACGACACTATATATATTCATATTGTGGCGACCTATAGTGTGTAGAGTTTTAAATTTGACATATCAACTTAATGTGTGAAGTCAAAACATGTTTATTTCATAATTACAAAGAGACTAGGCAGTAATTATCAATATTTTCTTATATCAAGTTTGAGCATAGTATATCTTTAAATTTCATATAAGTAATCACTGATTTTTTTTCATGCTAGAGATGTGTTTCGAAACTGGAAGAACTCTAGGGACATCTGACCTAAAATACAATACACCGGTCTTAAAATATGGGCGAACGACCGCACTCACTAGAGGATATATAGAGTTTGAAAATATCACGGTCCGAATGATTAAATATGAGCGTAAGTATACACTTGGCAGCAATGAGTATACATTTCTTTTAAAAAATCAAATAGCAGTTAGACCTGAATTAAATTCATGCACTCAATTGTTCAATGACTTTGGTGATTCTGGAGCTTTCGTGTTCGTGAAAGATTCTGACAATCAGTTAGTATGTATTGGGATTTGTGTTGGTAAACTAAATACACACGGTATTATTATCCCAATATCTGCCGTTAAAGGGGATCTCGGTATTTCAAAGTTTTGTGATTTTAGATGGCATCGTCTTAGTGAGAAAATCAAGGAAATGGACGAAAAACTAGACACGATTTTAGATAGGTTGTCTCGAATCTCAAGCCAATAAATCAACGACATACTATTTTTGTTCTTAAACCTGACTTATGGTGTTAGGGTTAATTCTAGTGAAACAAATGTCAAGGTATAACCGTTTTCGAGTCAAATGATGATTTTACTAGTATCGGCGGCTCGAAACACGAACGAATGACAATGTCAGAAATATTTCCGACATCACTGAGAATGATTTCCACGTAACCATTTGGATCCTTTCTAAATAAATATTTCGGTTTCGGTACTGCAAAGCGCATTCTTGTGTGAGACTTGAAAATGAAAGCGGTATGTGCGTACCGACTTGAATGACAAACAATATTTTTAGGCTGATCGTGTTTTTTTTTCTTTTTTTTTGGTTAGTTTTGTTTTGTTGTTTTTTGCATACATTGTATTTAGTTTTTTATGTTTTCTTTCTTTTCTTCTTAAAATGAATGATGTTAAAATGTTATGCTTATATGATATCTGCAGTCGTATACGTTTTGACTATTTCATAATTTTTATTTCATTTTCTTTCTTTTTTTTGTGGGGGTGAGGGTGGGTGAAGGAGGGGTGAGGGGGCATCGCTGGCCATTGATGTGCATTGTGCAGATATGTATCTGTTGTTTATTAACATTTTGGCTCATGTAGACCAAACTTAGGATGATATTTTACAATACGTATACTTTTTATACTTTTATGTTCGTATGTATGAACATATGTATACCAACATTGATTGTACTATGATTGAAAGTTATATTAACAGTGGCCTATCATTTTAGATCGCCCCTCCTAAATACCTGTAGTAAGCATTATTTTGAGCAGTATATTTACCTATCAATTTGTATTGTAAATGTAATTGTTATAAGTTTGTTTATAAATCTTAACCTCTATATCGAAGCTCAAAAGTGCTTTCAATAATCTAATTGTTTCCGTCAAAACTAATATGTTTACTCAGAGCAAAGTTATTATGATTCCGATCAAAAGTATGTAACTCCAAACAAATGTATCAAATGTATGCAGCATGCCAAACTCTTTAAATATTATATCCTAATTGCACATGAATACAAATTGTGTACAGAGTAAAATAGGTTGTCATTGACCGGAAAAGCACTATGTGTCATTTTTACAGTAAAATGTGGTTGAGAATAATATTCATTTTTAATGAATATGTAATGTATTTCAAAACAGATAGCATAAAGTACATCAATCCAAAATATTCAATACTTATTAATGTGTTCATCTTTCAATACTGGAAATATAAGAGTTCCTTAGGATATGTATGTACTGTTATTAAAACTTAGTTTTACACTCAAATAAGTACTGAGTACATCGTAAACTCTTCAATTGACGTTTGAATGTAACATTATTTTATTCATAAAAGTATGTTATTTGTACATAATGCTTGAATGTAAGTTTGCTGTTTTATCTTGTATTGCATCAAATTGTTTTGCAATACATTTAATTTAAAAACTTGTGAATAAAAGTGTTGAGTTGTTTAAGGAGTAATAAATACTAAAATGTTTTGTCACAATCTACCTTATACAAATGGTTTCGGATATGCTAAATCATGTTAGAGGAAATGTACAAAACGGTCAGGGAAATGGAGCCATGTGACATCTGAAGTCCAATAAATCATATTCAGAGCTAAAAAAGATAAGGAGGCGAAGGTGTTGGTGTTCTCAAAAATTCCAGTACACAATGGTATAATATGGACAGAAATATGTGTATTGTGGGCCCAACACTTTCTATGAAATAAAATTCCCCAATCAGAAACTACCTTAAGTTTAATAATATTGTAAGCACAATTTAGAATCTTTTACCTTTCTAAAGTCGGGACATATGTACTGATATGTTTTAGCATTTAAAAGGACAATTACATTCTGTAACAGTGTAACAATAACTGCAAGATATGAGACGTTTAAGTTATATGCTGTGGTATGATCTAATTAATTCGTTCTCAATCACGAATAAACCAAAAAGCGAGAATTTAAGAACCGAAATATTTAAATGAAATCATAACTTGTAAGCAATAGGCATCATCGATGGCCACATTCAAAAATAAACATAACAAATAAATAATAAATGATGTTTTTTTTCTAGCCTTGTCAATGTTCGCTTTGTTTATGATAAATAATAATAATAATAATAATAATAAAGTACGTTACTTCGTGTTGTATTATGAAACGTTGGTACTTTTGAAAAGACATATTAACTAGACAGAACGTGTTGTACATTAGTTTTCGTAGTAAAACCCTCTCCGATAATGTTTTATTCATTTATATTAGCAATGGAATAAATTATATTAAGTCATACCACGATTTACAAGTTAATGTTTCATGGGCAGAGGAATTTGATTACAAGAATTACTTTTATTCTTGTTCTAATAATAATAATAATAATAATTATTATTATTATTATCATTATTATTATTAAATTAATACATTTTGTATTATTATTATTATTATCATTATTATTATTATTATTATTATTATCTCAAGTTTAAAGTATTTTCTTGCAATTTTGACGATTTTTATGACTGTTATATGATAACTTGACAAAAATACTACCGTCTTTGTTTGTTTGCATGTTTTGATTCTTCCAGCCTATATCGGCCTCGCCTGATTCTCTATTTTAATATTAAAAGGGACAGTAGCATGTTATTCTCTATAGCTGAAACATACAACGGAAGCTAAAACTTTCAAACAGCAATAAAATACTGTTTTATTAAGAGCTTTTTTAATGGTCCGGAACTGCGTATTCACTTTTTACTAACAAATATTTTGTTTGTTTTATTTTCTTCTCCTTGACGCCTCATGATTGCACATGTGTCAAGGCATTTGTGTTAAAATTGTTGTTTTATTATTTAAGCATGACTTTATATTTTTATTTGTTATTGAATATGTTATTAGAAAAAGGTACTTCAGAATATAGCAAACATTTTAAACAGCAGGGTGTTTTATACTAAACTTGATTTTCTGACGTGAACTATCCCTACACCTATCTCTTTAACAGTAAAAGACACATTCGTTGTAATAATGTAATAATTCACCGTGCCTTTCCTGAACTGAAAATATATTTTGATAAATTATTAAATATTAAAACGAAAACAACGACGTTTGAAATGTTGTTGTGAATAATTGAACATTTCTTACTCTATGTAATTTCATATTCTCGAAAATCCTTTGTTGTACAATAGAAACACATGTAAAATTATTAGAAGAAAATCGAAATTGACATCGTCATAAATGAAATGGATAAAATGATAATCTCGTCCTCTGCAAAAAATATTGTTACGCTCTAGTAATTGAAAGTCTCTTTGCACCTGGTCTTCTTATCAGTCTCTCTGCATATGGTAATTCTAGGCTAGAAGTTGTCGACTGGAGTTCATAAGTTTGCTGCACTCTTGTTAAAACCAGTATATCAAGACACTTTAGTTTTGGTAGCTTTCTATGGCCTGTTAATCATGGACCAGGTACTATTTATCAGAACTTTGCTAGAGTTCTGGGCTTCACCAAATGTTTGAATTATAATGAGAAGAACAAATAAGTCTGTTTAAATTTTGACGTTTCACTTCAATTTATTTATTAAGTATATAGAAATTTAGTATATTTCAACAGTTAATAATTAGACTTGAATAACATTAAATAAATAAATGAGATCAAAACATGTATGCATTAGCAATAACAGGAAAACAATTCTTATAATCGCTATTATTTCTTTAAAAATGCACGAGATTATACGGTATCCATAAAATACACGAATCTTTAATTTAAGACTGATAGATTCGCCGAATTGAGATACCAGTTGAACAAAGCATAAAAGATCTATATCAAGTACTAATTCTTTGTTATATAATAAACAAGAATAAAAACTCTATATAATGTGTAAATTTAACTTTTCTGAACAATTAAGAATGACTGTTGTAAAGTTATCACTTATGAAAAATATTTATCTTCAGAAATCTAGAGCGCACCTTAAGTTTAAAATACTGACGAAAACGTCCGTAAGTTCGGAGCAAGAAAAAAATGTGTGGAGCCAAGATTATTTGTGAGCTGGGTTTAAATACTAGCAGAGCTCACAGCTCACAATGTGTGATGTGGGGCTCACAGTTCACATGTCTGTGATGTGAGACTCACTGCCCACCATTGTGAGATGTGCGGCTCACAGCTCACAACTGTGTATTGTGTACAAAGTGCAAGGTGCTCTTAAAAATAAAAAACATCAATATCTTACTTAAAAATATATGGAAAAATACATAATTAATATATAATTCACTCATTTACCTCAAAGGTTCTCTTTCTTGAGTTAAACATCATTCTTTGCAAAAATACGATAGTTTAAACAATAATAAATGCGATTTCAAATAGCCCGCCTCAGACTGTTGCTAGTAGCAACTGCTCACAGTCAATTCCAAGATGGCGGATCTGCACAATACAGAACGAGGTCAAATATAAAATGTGAAGGATTTAACAAGTTTCTAGAAAAGTTACCTTGCAGAAACATTCATAAACATGGATTAATTTGATATGCAACATAAATAGTGACTTATAAGAGGGATTATTCAAATTACATGGAAAGATAAACAAGTCGTGAAAACACATGACACAACAGATTCTGGCATGGAAAACATATAGGGATTTAAACTTAACTCACAGACTAGAATAAAATCTGGCATGATACGTGACATTGATCTGATGTCTTGTGAAAATTTACTAAGACACCAGTCAACTAATGTGCTATTGCCAGTAAAAGCTTCAAAAACGAAAGTAGGATCAATGAATGACAGAAAGTAAAAATGAACAAATGAAGTAAACAGGTAAACTTTTCTAGATCATTACATTACCCCCCGGTTTTCCATGGCAAAACTCCTGTTGCCATAACATTAAATTCATGTCATGTTACACAAATATTGAAGATGTGGTGAACCACCTTAACAATTCAGTGATGTGATGCAGCACCTTAAGAAAAAATTTTTTTTTTACATAAATATTACTATGTGAACATTAACATCATCATAGTCATAAATTTCAAACAAGAGACTAGTAATTACCAAGATAACAGTATGAAGTCCTTTTATACATAAAATATTCAAATAATCTCCTCAGTTTTAACATTACATTGAATACACTTAAAGATAGAGAGTAATGAACCGTAATAATTCTTACTAATGAAATACTTTTGCATCACAAATTGATTCAAATCTTAATATATCTGCATGTCTAAATTCAAAAACATTAAACCTTAAATTTGAAAATTCATCTTAGAGTTTACATTAATTATAAGTACAAGTTTTACAAATTAATTTCTGTTGTTCTTTTTCTTGTTGACTACCGACTTCAGAGTGGGAGAGTTCTCTTTGTCCTCTGTGCGGGGCCTCTTCTCGGATCTTGTTGCGCTCTCATCACGTCTGTACCTTCTGGTGTCCTCAACGTACCTTTCCATAGACCTTGAAAGGGTTTTAAGGGATTCGGCCATGGATTCTAAGGTCTGCCCTAAGTGGCGAGTTGCTCTGGTGTTAGAATCCATGGCGAAAGTGACCTTTCCCAACGATACCTGGAGGGTATTTTCCAGGTGACCGATAGTAGCTGTTAGAGGCTGGTACTTTTGGGCCAGTTCTTCCTGATGTGTTTTTGTCTGGGTCGCCTGCTCCCGGGTGGTACGTATCATGGGGTTCTCTGCCTCTGTGACAGATGCCGCTCCTACAGGGGAGAACGTCATGGGAGTGCTGGTACCTAGTATTTGATCAAGGACGTTCTCCTCCCTGTTGGCCTGGTGTTGCACATGTGTGTGGAGGTCATCCTCGTCATTATGCAGTACTGGTGTATGAAGAGGCGTCCGCTTCGCCACAGAAAGAGAACTGCTCTGTGGCGTAGGGACATACACGCTACTGGATAACTGGGTGTGAAACTGGCGAGACGTTGGCATGCTGGGAAGGTCGCTCAGGTCGTCAAAATCATGGAGCCCAGGCCTCAAAGGATCATACCTGGGGAGCTCTGAGGTGGATGCTGGCACTCCTACCTTAGTTACAGTGGATGGAGCCTTAGGCGTCGTGGAAGATGTCAGTGTGATTAAAATTAAAATATGTGTTGAGTTCAGTTATTTTCAAAGTTCATTTTCCATCTGTTTAAATTATCTAAATGACACGAAGTATTTGAAAATTTTATTTCACATCCGGGACGTAAAATTTGACAGTTTTTACTTGAAACGGTTGCATATCAAATGAACATATGCATCACTTTGTTAATAATGTTAACACTTAATTATATTGACAATAAATATTAACTAGGACAATTTTAGTGGGGTGCACACCGGATATTTTACCATCCTAATCCGCTAGTTGAAGGGGAGATAAATCTGAAAATATTGGTGCTAGAGTTATGAACTGTGTCACATAAGATGTGGTTGATGATAAGGAACATATATGTGAAGTATGAAGTTGATCCCTTAGGAAATAAAGAAGTAACAGTAAAAATAATATTTTTAAAGAAAAAATCTAAGATGTGGTTAATGATAAAGAACATATAATTGAAGTTGATACCTAAAGAAAAGACAAAGTTATAGTGGACAATATTTTACTGCACCAAAACTTTAATCTGAAATATGGACGGGGACGCCGAGGCCGGGTGAGTAGGACAGCCATAAATATACTTTGTAAAGTTGTGCTAAAATTACAAACACATATTTTAATTATCTCATTCAATCAAATTTAATGTGCATTTATTTACAAAATAAAATAAAAAATGAAACAAAGTATAACAAATGTACTATGTGATTGATCCCGCTACAACCATAACAATTCCTATGAAAATCTGGTAGCACTCTCTTTCAAGGCACATGTGCCAGTTTCCGTGCCCTTGAAATGCACAAAACAAAAATTAAAGGACTCATAATAAAGCATGCAGACCCCAATTTCTGTCATTATTTTGTCTTTACATAATCTAAGGAAATCACTAAAAATTAAAACAAGAGCTTTCACATAAGGTGATTCATACTCCCACCAGCAACTTGAACTTTTTAAAGGGGGCGCAAAAGCAATCCAAATAAACTTGCTATATACCAAGTTTGATTATAATATGTTGAGTAACAGTCAGTGTGCTTGACCAAAGGAAGTCAAAAAGGAATACCAACCAGGATTTTCACATAAGCTTGTTATATACCAAGTTTGATTACAATATCAGAGCCATTCCTAACTCTAGTTATTGTCCGGAAAACATTTTTCTATTTTTAGTAATAAGGACCTTGACCCGAGGAAGACCACAAGCAATAACCAATGAAATTTTCACATACGGTTGCTATATATCAAGTTTGATTACATTAACTCATTCCAAACTCTAGAAATGGTCCGTAAACCATAAAGTGGAAAGACCGACCGACAAGCTGACTCCTATATACCCCCCAACCACTTTGTTTCTGTGGGTAAAATAACCACAATCAGGAGTTTACACATTTAAAATTTCATTTCATAAGTTTTTCATTTCATTAATACATGTGCTATAAAGAGGATACAGAATAAGTGTAAGTTTAATACTGAATTTATTGAACGAGGTGAACAAAATTATATTACGCAAGCCTCAGGCGAGCATACCATAATTTCATTCAACGAGTTCAATAAATTTAGCAATTAACTTTCACATATTTAATATTCTATTTATCACATACTCATAATAAAGACCGTTTGAAGTGATAAAGTAACATTTATCATTGACGCACCTATAGTATTATAACTGCTAACATTTAGGGCGTTTTAACACCATGTTTATATAACTTAAATGACTGCACAACAAAATATATGCGCGGCCGTGCAATACCATTTTGACAGTCTTAAAATCAACACAGGTATGTGATAAATTATTATTAACACTCATCTTCTTAACTCCATATATAAGCATTATAACTATTGTCCCACCAGGGTAGATCTAATCAGCTGGCACATTCAGGTTTGATCTGGATCTGCAGTCTGACATAAGCTAATGAATCTTAAAGAGAACAGCTGTGCCTGCTTATCTAGATCTACACTGTCCAGCCATGCAATAATGGAGTACCTATGAAGTAAAGGTTTAATGTGTTCATATATGAAAACCAAAAATTATTTACAAACTTAATATATTATTATAAAAACACCCAAAAATATCCATAGCTTAACAAATTTGATAATGCAGTCTCATCATTTAGATGATCTTGGGCAATAAAGCTGTACAAGATAATAAATATGTATAGCAAAGGAAACAATAACAAAACTTATTTCAATCCAAAACTAGAAATTGCCAGAAGTGCCGAATGCTCCCGACACACGCTTGTCACAAAACATGCTTTTTAGTTATAACTTTGCACATAGGGAGGAGCATTCGTACCATGTGGTCAGGACCTACACTGGATAATTGCTACATCCCATGGAGTATAATTTTAAATACGGCTCTAAATTATGTCTTTACTTTTTACTAGAGTAAATGCAATGTTGATATCTTACTAAGTAACAGCAAAGTTTTTCACAGCAAAACAGGAAAGCTAGTTGACAATTCAAGTCAAAGCATTGTGCAGCATCCAATAAATTGTGAGCAGCCTTTACTGTAGCCAAACCTATCACACTGCATACAGTAATTATGATTCTTTAGATGAACTAGAAATGTGTCCAAAGGACACGGGTGGCCCAATACTCCACTATTTTGCCAATCTACTGGCTCTAGGTCAAATAGTTTTTGGGTGTACATGCAACACAAATTGAAACTCTTTTTACTAAGTCAAGGGCAAAAACTCTACAAATACTGAATAAAACCACAAGCAAACCTAAATTAAGGCACACAGCTACACATGCTGACTAACATGCTTGTAAATTATCAGTATTACAGATCAAATACTTTTGAGCTTTGCATGAACAAGTGGAAAAATGCAAATTTATACTATGTCAAAGGCAATAACTGAGAAAAATCCACAGGCAAAACCCCAGGACTTTGTTCACAACTACACATGCTGACTAACATTCCTGTAGAGTTTTATGACTCTTGGTCAAATACTTTGAGCTGAGAATGGACAGACAAGTGTCAATCTAAATGCCCCACCCCATAAAACTTTATGTTTATAATGAAGTTTAAAGCTACTATCCCACACATTGTAGTTTGGGTGTTTTTGAAATAAAATGTCATCAAAAGATGAAATTTCAACACAGCCTTTTACATTTATATGAAACTAGATGATAAATACATGTTTTGATCAACAGTAAAAACATCTAAGTTAAATTTTTTGCAATTTTCACATGCTGTAATTTAATATCATTGCAATGTTTTAATTGGTTGAATTTTGACTTAAATTATAGACACACCTGTTCACTGTTTGCACGTAGAACAGCTGTGCGCTTGGTGAGTTTTTTTACCTGCAATCAATGGTTGCACAATATATCATAGAAAATTATATGAGCCGCGTCATGACAAAAAAAACATAATGGGTTTGCGACCAGCATGGATCCAGACCAGCCTGCACATCCGCGCAGTCTAATCAGCATCCATGCTGTTCGCGTACAAATCCTATAACAAGTAGAGAAACTGATAGCGAACAGCATGGATCCTGATCAGACTGCGCGGATGCGCAGGCTGGTCTGGATCCATGCTGGTCGCAAACCCATTATGTTGGTTTTGTCGTGACACGATTCATATCTACAAAAAGAGACAAGAAAAGAAGAACATGCCTCAGTAATCTGGTTTAAAACTGACATTTATATTAATAGTTATAAAGATTTTTGACAGGTTATATGGCCCTAAAGATTTTTGACAGGTTATATGGCCCTATATAAACAGCTGATTGGATATATAACCAAAGCCTCTTGGTCAGGGTTTTGTTGCAAACAACAGTTATATACGTTCATATCACCTGTCAGGAATTTTAATAACAAATTTATAAAACAGCAAACTTCCTCTTTTTTGAGAAAAAATTAGATTCTTAGAAAATTAACAAATTTATAATACAGCAAGCATCATTTTCAAAGGAATAAAGCGAGATTTCTTTATAAATCGACAGCAGCCATGTATATAACACTATATAAACATCACGTTTATCCAATGAAAAGCCACGTTACAAATGTGCAGTATTATAAAAAAAAACTATATAAACCTCACGATTATTATAAAGTAAGTTCTAACCACAGGAAAACGTTGCGTGGCCACGACTTACACTATAACCCTGTTGCCCCTCTACAACCCAAAACCCTTACACATCATCCAAACATCATATGTATTGACAAAAATAAATTTTATGAAAAAAATATTTTTATGACTATAATATTTTAGTCATAATTTTCTTATGGTGTTTGGATGATGTTTTAAGGGTTTTGGGTTGTAGAGGGGGAACGGGGGTATAGTGTAAGTCGTGCGCTTCACCACTACGCTTTCTATTGAATACAATAATTTGAGCTAGACACAATTGACAGAATTCACGGTATACATCAGAAGTTTGAGACTCTGACAAAGCACACTTACACTTTTCATTAATATAGTTATTTAACTTGGCAACGTCTTCCACAAGTGGCAGGAACTTTGGACGATTGTATTTAATTGTATCCAAGGTTGTCAAAGCCTTTCCAGAAATCATTTTATTCCAGCGAAGCTTGTACATCTCTAAGAAGGTCTTAGCAACTTCTTGTTTGACTGTATCTCCAACTTTCAATGCCTTAAAATACATGTCTTCAGCACAAGTTTTCAATGAATGTCCTAGCTTTAGGGCTGATGATGGAATACCAAAGTTTTTAGTTTCAGGATTGAATTCAGACACTTCTTTTACTGACAAAATAAAGAGGTCCCAGTTTTCTTTCTTCATGCAGTCTTCTATTGACATTAAGATATTTTCTTTCCTGTAATCTGCAATCTGCCTAATTCCCTCATTTTCTGTGATATATATACATGTTTGTGCTTTCGGTGCCCTTGATCATTGTACATGTTGAGTCCAAAGTCTTGTATTATAAGAATCTTACACCGGCTGCCGGTACAGACCGGAATATCTAGCTCGAGAGTAACTGTTTACAGCGGTAACGAGGCTCTGCCGAGTTTCCGCTAAACAGTTACCCGAGAGCTAGATATTCCCGTGGTGTTTGATTCTTTTTCTTGCATATAACATGTCAATTATTTTCGGAACAGAAATAATGAAAACTGATATTATCATTACGCACTTTTTTCTTATAGTATTGTATGAACATACAACTTCATTCATAACAGAAAAATGACGTCATCCTAAGAACGCGATTCATTCATAAAAGGCGCGCGTCAATGACGTCATTTAAAGCACGTGACTTGTTGGGTTAAGACAGAGTTTTCTAGCACCGGTGTAAGCAGTAGATAATCCTGTCTGAGATGCAAGAAAGTCTGATCTGAAAGGATTGCTAATTTAACTTCATCTTCTTTTATGTTAGGAATTATGTTGTGATGAAAAGTTTGATTACTGCATGTTACAGGTAACAATTTTTTTCCACCAGCTATAGGTCTTGTTTCATAACCTGTCGATGATTCTTTCGATTACATGACTTCTGGTGCCGCCAAGGATTTTTCCTACTGCTATCTCGTTTTTGTGTTTCAGACTTAAATGTCTTGCAATGTTTGGATATAACTTCTCACAGTATGTACAGCAATGTTTCTTATTTTGAGAGACTGCCTTTAATACTTCTTTTCACCTTATCAACTACTATAAGCTGAGGAAACAAAGGCCTTTCAATTTCTTCACAAGATGGTTCAATGATCTCCGACATCTCTGAAAAAGGAAAATAAGAACTTAAATGAGGAAACACAAGAAATGCTGTATTAATACTTTTTTATACTTTTTTATAATATATAGTAAAACTTGACATGTGACTTTCCGAAAGAGTTGTCACAAGGAAGTTTCATTGTGTATTAAAAGGGGCATAAATATGAAAATAAGTAAATCAGAGTTATGGGACCTGTGCCAATCATGTTAAAAAATCACAGTGAAAATGTTTTCATTCCCTTCAGTAGTTAGGGAGATACCAGCTCACAAGCAAAAAGTTAACCATGAGTTTCATTAAGTATAAAAAGGGGCATAAATTTGGAAATAGCAAATCAGAGCTGTCCAATGACAGCATGCTCAACAATTAGAACAGTTATCAAAATAATGGCATTGGATTAATGGAAAGGTAAGGGATTGAATACAGGTCTATCTTTTGACAGACCAGCACTCTACATGTGCGCTGGGCTAGCCCCGCTGGTTTAGTGGAAACGCATTTTATATCTATCAGAATATTATTATATATGAACATGACAGTTTGAAAAGAATTTTGAAGTACTGCAAGTGAAAATTGAAATATTTATTTAAAAAGATTCAGTCATATATGAAACAACTGGTACTTTTTATTAGTATTTATGAATATACAAAATAGAAGATGCTGTCATAAGCTTAAGTTACCAATAAGAATCTGAATATCATAAAAGCAAATAAACATTTGAACAAAGCAAAAACACTTTTGAACAAAGTACACTTTCGGTCAAATTGAAATGTGTAACGATGTTAATCATTATGATAGCAACAGTACACAAAAGAGTACACGTTAATTATAAACAAGAGCACCGCTAGGCGGAGCATTATATGCCCGAAAGGTTTTTTTTTCTAGTAAGGATGAAGCATTTGTAAGACATTACATAAATTAAATAAAGTATTACCTCATTCAAATAGCAATCCTCCTATAAAATTTGAATATTGTGGGCCAAATGGAACTGGAAACTGTTTTCAGTTTTGAGGTAATAGCGACCTTGAACTTTGACCTTGTGACCCCAAAATCAATAGGGGTGTTCTACCCAATATGGACAATCATCCTATGAAGTTTCAACACTATGGTCCAAATAGAAATTAAGTTATGTTCTGGAAACTGTTTTCAGTTTTTAAATAAGTGAGTGACCTTTGACCTTGTGACCCCAAAATCAATAGGGGTATTCTACCCAATATGGACAATCATCCTATGAAGTTTGAATATTGTGGGCCAAAAAGACCTTAAGTTATGCTCCGGAAACTGTTTTCAGGTTTATATTGAAAGTGACCTTTCACCTTGTGACCCCAAAATCAATAGGGGTCTTCTAACCAATATGGACAATCATCCTATGAAGTTGGAACACTGTGGGCCAATTGGAACTTAAGTTATGATCCGGAAACTGTTTTCAGTTTTAAGGTAATAGTGACCTTGACCTTCGTCCTTGTGACCCCAAAATCATTAGGGGTCTTCTAACCAATATGGACAATCACCCTATGAAGTTTGAACACTGTGGGCCAATTGGAACTTAAGTTATGCTCCGGAAACTGTTTTCAGTTTTAAGGTGATAGTGACCTTGACCTTTGACCTTGTGACCCCAAAATCAATAGGGGTCTTCTACCCAATATGGACAATCATCCTATGAAGTTTGAATATTGTGGGCCAAATGGAACTTAAGTTATGCTCCGGAAACCAAATTGCTTACGGACGGATGGACATTCTAACAGCCCAGCAAACACAAGACGTCAAACTGACGTCAGATTTAAGTCAGGTTCTGACGTCGGATGACGGTCGGGAAAACGGTTGGATTTGAAAGTTTTTTTTGACGTAATAATCTGACGTCAGGTAGAGGTCAGAATCTAACCATTATCTGACCAAAATCTGACCATTATCTAACCAGTTTCTGACCATTTTCCGACCTGAATCTGACCATTTTCCGACCTAAATCTAACCAGTTTCTGACCATTTTCCGACCTCAATCTGACCATTTTCCGACCTAAATCTTAATCCTTTTCTGCCCTAAATCTGAACATTTTCTGACCTTAACCTGATCATTTCCCTAATCCTTCTTGTTTTAATATGTTATAGATATTTTATGGCTTAAATTTAATTTAACTCATTCTATTAAGTAACTTTTACTGCAATGAAATGTATAACAAAAAACTAAAAGCAAAAATATGTTTTCATGTTGTTTTTATTTAAAATAAAAGTTGCAATTTAAAGCTGATACATACAGTTTTAGTAAATTTATAAATTAAACAAAATAAAACATAAAATAAGTTTATAACAAAACAAACAGTATTACAAAAACAATGAAATAAATAAAACATATAGAGGATATTCAAAATTTGCCTTATAAACAAAATGAAAATATTATAATTTCAAGAAAAGTTAAAAGATTCGGATAATAATGTTTCAAGCAATTAATGACAGATTTCAGATTTGTAGTATTTTTACTATATTTCTACAGCATTACTAAAACATTTAGTGCTATTATGCATATTTTGACCTCCTTTTGATAATTGTCACTAACGTATAAACTACTTCCTTTTAGTTACTTCACAAAGATATACTTTTAAATATCCATGAGAATTAGCACGAATTTGGAGGTGTGATGCTTTTAGATATATGACCTTCTCTCACCACCCCTCGTCTGTCCGGAGGATATGTTAATGTCCAATGGCGTTTGTAATATCATTTTCACTGAAAAAAAAAGAAATTTATGAAAAATGGAAAAAAACAAGCAAAACTGTTTTTTTTATTGTTATCTGCCCTTTAGTAATTTTTAAAGTTATCTTAACGTAATGAACAACTTTGCTAGCTTTTTAGAAGTGAGCTTTAACAAAAATTAAAAGTAAACATAAATACTGAAAATTTAAAAGGCCTAATCTTAAAACTCCAGTTTAGTATGGATTATAGTATGTAATAGAATTTACAAAAATCTTACTTTCCCATGTTTCTTTTTACATTGTCACGTATTTCTGTCCCTCCGACCTTTAAGAGCATGTCCAACACTTGAACTACCTGAAAAGCAAATTATATCCTAACTTATGTTTATTCTACTCTTGAAGTAGAACAGTTACGCAAGTCTTTACTCTTAAATTATTCATATTTTCAAATTAAAAATTGTTAATAAATTGTTAATGATAAATGTATGTTTATGTACTACTTTTTGTTAAAATGTTTATGTTCTGTTTTGATTGTTTTGATTACATTTTTCCTACTAATGATTAAATGAAGCGTCATTCTATAACTACTAAATTAGATAATCAATCAATTCGCTCTTTCGTTTATTTTCCGTTCATTTATTAGAATGATATTAAAATCTGGTGTAAAACACATTAAGGTAAGATTTATTCTGATCAAAATTTGGGCCGATTGGGAAAATGCCGAAATTTCTGGGACCGAAACGTCTTGGTCCGAAATGCTCAAAATCGTACAAAAATCATTCTCAATTCTCAGATTTTAACTGACAAAAACATCACAGTTTAACAAAAATATGAAAACTAAGCATTCTCTTCGGTTGTACTGAAAGGCACATTATAAACTCTTCACGAGCAGAGTTAGAACATGCCAAATTTGAAATGATTTATTATTAGACATTATCGCGAAATTGTGTGACATTTTGCTTCAACTGTTCAAATAATGATTATTAAATTTAAGAATGCTTGCAATCATGCAATTATTTATCAAATACAAAGTAGAAATAAATTTAAATAAATTGAACTGACCTTTTTCTCCAAGAAAATCTAGAATATTCACTTTATCAATGCATCCCGATTCCTGACCACCGCCAAAACGTACGAAACGCTTACGAATTTGAATTTTTCCTCCACGTGGCTGTATATTCGAATTATAATTATGTTTTATTTCCTTTTTCTGTCACTATGATTAAATGTAAAAGCACTATTAAAAACTCGTGACTTTGATACATATAATGTACCACAAATAATAATAGTATAAGGATTATTTTTTATTAATTTTTACCTACCGTTGGGACACCGACCAGAACCTGACGTTAGTACGACGTGAAAAAGAAACGTGTAATAGACATCGGTTTTTGGACGTCAGCTTTACGTCGTATTTTGGTCGCCGAGGTCGTGACCAAAATTTAACGTTAATCCGACGTTATTTTAACGCCGTGTGTTTGCTGGGAGGAGAGTAATAAAGTGGCTACTCTATTGTTCTCTCTATTGTTCTTTTTAGCCACACAAAAGAAAATAGCCACATAAAAGCATCACGGAATGAATGACATCAAAGAGAAAGAACAGTTACCTATTGTCCCTCTAGCCACATAATTACTGTCCTGTAAGTGTGGATAGACAGACAGATGGACGGACGCCAGGGGGTATAACTAATATGCCCGAAATTCTTTAGGGCATATAAAAAGGCCTCTACCTGTGAACAAAAATGTGTAAAGAGATTAAATTATCAGGAACCCTTATTTTTGTTTATAAAAATATATGCAAAAAAATCCTTTAAAAATCAAGGATTAAGTCAGTTTTGTAATGTACGTGTTGGAGTTTGAATGGACAGTTATGTTAGAAAAGGAAATGTATTGAGAGAAAAATACCTTTGGAAATGATAATGATTGTTCTGTAATAATAATTGCACCTAATAATGTTGATCTTAATATAAAGTTCAAAAGGGGAGCAAAATCAGCCTAAATGCATGAATTAATTGATCTTGGTCAGTGACCTTAATGCTTAATAGTTTCAGAGATATGCAAAACTTGCATGTAAAACTTATCCAAGAAAAGGAGATTTTTTTAGTACACAAGGGAGCATAATTCAGTCAAAATACATGGCAGAGTAATGGATCTTGAGATGTGACCTTCAATTAACCTTCAATTATGACCCTAAGTACATGTGTAAAGTTTCAAGTAAATATCTTTGATAGTTCTTAAGCCCTTTAACCAAAATTTCTAAGTTAAAAAGGGGCATAATTCTGTAAATATTGTAGGCAGAGTAATCCAACTTGTCAATCTGATGTACATAGTTACTATAAATAAGTATTGTAAGTTTTAATTGAATATCTCGAGCAATAATTGAAATATTTGACTTTACAAAAAATTTTAACCAATGCCGATGCGGACGTGGACGCCGACGCAACTGCAATAGCTCTCCATATTCTTCGAATAGTCGAGCTAAAAAGGTCACATATGACAGGGAGTCTTTAAATCAAGGTCAATAAAATGTTTCAGTTTTACTTTATGAAAGTTTGCATATTCTTTGATTTTTTTGTTTATTGAAAAATATAGGATAATATTCTCTTGTATAATTCAATTTACATGCATTATAGTAAAATTGTTTTTTTTAAAGATTTTGACATGTGTATTGTAAGATTAACATAAGATGAAAACAATGAAATATTTGAATATGCTGATGTGACAATGAGGAACATGAGGAACAATGAGTTAATTTAATTAAAACATTGATAAAAATTGTCAAATTACTGTGTCAGTTCATCTTTCATTTCCAAAAATTCTCCCAAATCAATATGCATTGAATAATCGCTCCCTCTTGTTATGACAGCTAACATCAAAGGAACATATGTCATGTTAAAATCATGTACAAATGTAGCTTAAATATCTCAATGATGAAATTCCAGCACTTTTGCACACATTTTACCTTCAAAGTTTCTTTGATATCAGTAAATTTCCAAGGTAGTTTATGTGTGAGCTTGTCACCTAGATTAAACTCGGACTGTTTAATAATTGCAACTTAACTATAATTAGTAACAGGATATTTTTGCAGTTAAAATACAGCTTATAAGTTTTATTAAAACTTAAAATATGAATATAACTTTTGTTTATTCATTTTTGCAGCCTGCAATGATTTAGTCAGAGCTGTGAAAATGCACAGTGCAAAGACTTCATTCCAATAAAAAACAACAACATATTTTGGTAATATCCAACCGTGTAATTAAAAAGAATACGTATTTTAGTAAATACCAACTTCATTCAAAGTTCCTGCATATTACGAGGGTACAGATCACGGTATATTAGTATTGCATTATATACGGTCCCGTACATCTAAGTATTCAAATTTCACTTATTTTTACCTGTCTATATCTATAATATACGGAATTCCGTATTCAATATATATTTTCTGCAGTGGTCATAATGGCGTAAAGTGCCGTTAATAGAAGGATTTTGAAACAGGAAATCGTTCTAATAACATCAAAACAACAAATGCCCCGTGATAGCGTGACTGTTATCCAAAGGGGTGAGGGGAAATAAATCCCATGTACCAAAAAAATTGAGTCCGTGACCCCCTAATTATTTTAGTTATTTTGACTAAGTATACATTTTAAAGGACGTTTAAAGAAAATAATCAAACAAGTGGGCTATGATGGCCCTGAAGTCGCTCACCTGTATATAGGCCCCCCGGAGCGGGGCCAGTTTTGACCCCAGGGCTTTTATTTGAACAAACTTGGTAGACATCCATTAGAAGATGTTTCATGCTAAACATCTAAGGTCTAGCTCGTTAGGTTTTTTAAACGAAGATTTTTTAAGATTTTCTTTACACATATATTTAAAAACAATGACACCCCTGGGGCAGGGCCAGTTTTGACCCCAGGGCTTTTATTTGAACAATCTTTCATTCTTTGTAGACACTTACTAGAAGATGTTTCATGCTTAATATCTAAACTCTAGCTATTCGGATTTTTCCAAGAAGATTTTTAAGTTTTTGCTATAAATAAAAACAGGTCGCGAAAATATGTGACAAATGTCCGTTTACGCATTTTTTCCAGTAAGGTTTAAGTATCTTAACTGTAAGCTGGTAATACAATTATTATTTCTATTGTTTCAGTCGGCAAATTGTTACAAAATAATGCTTTTAGAAGTGAAGAAAGGTCATTAAAATTATTTCTAGACTCTTCATTTTTTCTAGGGGTCATAAACACGCCGGCTCTGTTTGGGGAAAAATCAGTGCATTTATGATAATACTCACAGTGAATTTCACCGATTGCAGCTTTGAAGGTCTTCTTCTGATAATTTGCTTGAGCTATTTCACCTTCCTCGTTGTATGTCTTTATTGGGGAGACGATATCAGTTCACTGTTGATATGAGACGAAGTGTCTGCCGTCTTTGAATATCGCGCGCACAATAAACCTGTGTTCTACGTAATAAACATGTGTACTACGTCAGTAACATGTGCTTGATTCGCATAATTTCGTGTAATTCCGTTGTTTTTAATGACTGAATAATTTCAATTATATCGTTGAATTTTATTTCACAAATCTATTATTTTAAGCACAACAAGCGCTTGAATTTCATACAAAGCTACAGTACAGTAGTTTCCAAAACAATTGTGTTGCTACGTCATCAGTATACGTATCCAATACGTCATGAAAATATGCTCGTCTCGGTTAGCGTAAATATACGGATATTGCTCAAGTATAATCGTAAAGGTTCGCTGGTTAAGTAAAGACTAAGTTATCATCGTTAATTTCCGTCAGCATAAATATGACCTGCCACATACTGGTATCGAAGCAGTTTCCGATAAAAATATGAGGTTATAGGCCTACTTTAATTCAGGACTCTCGATTGACGCGGGGATTCGTGTTTTGACTCGTGAAAATTTACTGTAAATCCACCCCTAATTAGATCTACATATGTTCAAATCACACTCAATAAAAATGTCAACAGGCAGTATAAGCCGTGTATAAAATGGTTTATACACACAGCCTGTGCACTGAAGCATGACATCAGTGGATGCAATTTGACAGCGCTAAAAATAGCTCTATACAACTGATAAAAATTACATACATCAGATGTCAATTATTGATTATTATTTTAAGGTTTATAATACGTCTTTGATTTACTTGGAGTGCCTGTACATTTGTTATTTCTTTTTGGATTATATATTCCTATTATCTATTAATTAAATGGCCAATGATAAAATTGTCATAAATGCAGGTTGACCATTAAGGTCAATTGATTATTAAATTTCAATTAAATAATAATAATAATAGTAATCCTAGAAAAATATTATTAAATAGATCTAGATCAGTATGTTGTTTTATTTTAAAAAAGAAAGAAAACATTTTTATTTTCAATTTTATTGTCTTCCTTCTTTATTTACTTGTTTACTTTCAACAAAGAGAATTCCTAGTCTTTAGGAATTTATGTAAGATTCAAGGAATTTAGCACAGATGTTAAGGATTTTGTTCTACAAGATAAATTCTAAGTAATTCCTAAAGACTAGGAATTTTGCAAAATCTTAAGTCTTAGAAATCTCAGAAAATAAATTACAATTCCTAGAATAACTTAGAAATTGATGAGTTGTTTAAAAATTATTAGAAATGCCTAGTTCTCAGTAACTGGTATTTCCTAGGCCATACTAGAATAGCCAAGACTGGTTTTAACATTCTGGAATTTTCTAGAATAATAACTGGGAAATACTGGGACTTTTTAAATACCAGTATATATTTCTGCAAGGGTTGATCAGTATGTGTAGTTGTGCACCTGGGTATTTTTGTCCGTCCGTCCTTCTGTCCGTCCATCCGTCCTTCCATCCGTCTGTCCGAGTTTCGTTTCCGGAGTAGTTCTCTGCAACTAATGGCTGGAATTCAACGAAACTTTATGGGAATGTTGATCAGCATGTGAAGTTGTGCACCTGGGTATTTTTGTTTGGATATTTTTAGTATTTTTAGAGTTATTGCCCTTGACTTAGTAAAGTTTTGTAATTTTCAACTTGTGTTGCATGTTACTCAAAAAGAATTTGACCTAGAGTCATGAAACTTTACAGGAATGTTTATCAGTATGTGTAGTTGTGCACCTGGGTATTTTCGTCTGGATATTTTTAGTAGTTTTAGAGTTATTGCCCTTGACTTAGTAAAACTTTGTCATTTTCAACTTGTGTGGCATGTAACTCAAAAAGTATTTGACCGAGAGTCATGAAACTTTACAGGAATGTTGATCAGTATGTGTAGTTGTGCACCTGGGTATTTTTGTCTGGATATTTTTAGTAGTTTTAGAGTTATTGCCCTTGACGTAGTAAAATTTTGTCATTTAAAACTTGTGTTGCATGTAACTCAAAAAGTATTTGACCTAGAGTCATGAAACTTTACAGGAATGTTGATCAGTATGTGTATAGTTGTGCACCTGGGTATTTGCGTCTGGATATAGGTCCTCTACCAAAATTGTTCAAATTTTAGCCCTGGGGTCAAAATTGGCCCCACTCCAGGGGGTCATAGATTTTCCTTATAATTTTTTATGTATAGTGAAAACTTAAAAATTCTTCTTGTTTGAAGGTACAAGGCTTCAAGTTCAAAGAATATTATAGTTTTTGCCATGATTAATATATAAATAAAGCCTTATGTCTTCAGTTGTTGTGTTAATAATAACCAGTAGTCAGCGGGGGATATAAATTCAACGAATTTGCTTGTTGTGTTTTTTTCCAAACAAGTTGACACATGACACAAGTGTTATTATCATTTGAATTACAAGGTATTATTTTTTGTCATTTCATATAATTATTCTGTCAATGATAAACTTTTTAACATTTCAGAGTGTAAATGCAGCTGATTTATTGAAGACACATATTACTGGAGTTATAAGCCATGGACATGGTGGATTCCATACGTTTACAGATTTTAACCAATTTCCCCATGATCCAAACTTGACAATAAATATCATTCTTAAAATGTTGGAAATTACAACTGAAAGCAATGTAAGTATATATGATTTAACTAAACAGTGATATAAAGAAATAAACTTGCCTCTTTTGTTTTATTTTTTATCAGAATAGCTGGAATGACAGGATTTTGTCAAAAGTAAGCACTTATCGGAATGTCAGAAATGAAAGTGAAATTCAAATTATAGATAGGAACATGTTATACATGTATATTAATAATGAGAGTTTGGTAACTTAACCTTTTCACTACCATAGGGACGGCATATTATAATAATAATAATAAAGATATAGATAATTATACCATCGACAATAATTATTATATTAACATATATAATTATTATAATACTAATAACAAATAATAATAATATTAACATTAGTACAATAGTAACATTGACTTCAGAAAGATTATTGATATGTTGTCTGTGTTATTTATAATGTGCACTAGCAGTGTAAAATATGAACTGATATAAATGCTATTACAATTCTATAATAACAATTTCTTCCTTTTGCAGGGTAATGCTCTGCCTCCTATATTATATATACAGGCAGATAATTGTGCAAGAGAAAACAAGAACCGATATGTGTTGGCCTTTCTACAATTATTGGTTGAAAAAAATATTTTCAATGAGGTAAGTGCACTTCATCATTCAAGACGTTTTACCATGAAAATTAAACTAAGACATGATGCCATTTTACTCAGGGTCAAGGTCAAATGTAATGCAATCTTTTGTCTACTCCATTTTTAAGTAAGTTTATCAGTTTAACAAGGTACGGTATAAATTTTCTGCGGGAACTTTAATTCTGCTTTTTTGTGGTTTATAACGACACCGCTGATTAAAAAACTGCAGAAAATTAAGCCTTTCCCTATGTTTATGTATTGTGTAATTGCATAACCATGTATTGTTATCGGCTTTTGTACAGATTGACATGATTTTTATGCCCCAGCCATAAATTAGCCGAGGCATATATATAGTGTACCCGGTTCCGTCATTCCGTCATCATCAGTTTCAATCCATTATCTTGGTAACTGTTGCAAACATTCAACTTAAATTTGACATATCATATGGATATAGCGTAGTTTGAATTTGGTCTTGGTCCAATGAATTTTGACAGAGTTATACCCCTTGATGAATTTTTCAGTTTCGTTCATTATCTCATATGGATACGTCAAAGGAATGTACATGTCAAGTTCAAATTTGGTCATAGTTCGATGATTTTTGGCAGTTATAGCCCTTAACACACTGAATAAAATAAGGAATTTTCAGTTTACGTTCATTAATTTCTCAATTGTGCTACACATTCAACCCAAATTTGACTTATAGATATGCCATAGGAATGTGTAGGTCAATTTCGAATTTGGTCATGGTTTGATGATATTTGGCTGAGTTAAGCCCCTTTGACTTAAAATAAAATTTTCAGATTTATTAATTTATGGATATGTCATAGGATTGTGCAGGTCAAGATCAAATTTGGTCATGGTTTGATGATTTTTGATTGAGTCATCCCTCTTGAACTTTGAAAAAAAAAGAAATTTCCAGTTTCCATTCATTATCTCCCAAACAACTTTACACATTCAACTCAAATTTAACATAATGCATACCTCAAAGGAATGCGCAGGCCAAGTTTGAATTAGATCATGGTTCAAAGATTTTCTTATGAATCCATCGTGAATAAAACATTTAATCTAATCATTAGAAAAATATTGTTACTGCTTGCTCTTTTTGTTTAAATAAATATAATTTTCTCTGCAGAATAGTTTTTTATCATTAGGAAATAATCGATAAAAATTATATTGTTTATCATTGCATTTACTAAAATTGTGGTCACATGCCATTTATATCACTTGTTTATACCACTGTTTTAATTTTCTTATTTTTACGATATCATAATCAAAGGCTTGATAAAAAAATTACCCTGGTTCGTTATTGTCTTTGTTATTGTCAATAAAACCTGCAATAAACATACTCTTTTGTATATGTACAATATCTTTGTCAATCTGCTATTTTGTCGTTTTCACTGCACATGTCCACTGAAAAGAAATAATCAACATTTTTTTATTTAAATTGTGTTTGCATATTGTTGTTGTTTTTATTATTATTATTTATGTGTATTTATCAATACATGATGATTACGAGGAACACATTATCAGTTGTCTGCATCTTTAACCAGAAGTAATGTAACATCAATGAATCTTGAAATGTTGTCTGTTTATATTGGTCAATTTTGTACAATTATCTTTATTCAAATGCAGAAATAAAACAAATCAATGTGAGAATGAATACACTGCAGAAATAAGATATGCAGAAATTTAAACCCATTATTTTAACAAAAGACACAGAATATTAAGCCCACAGAAATAAGTACTTATACTTAAAGTGCTTAAGCTTGTCATAAAACTGAACAGGAATGTGGATCGGTATTTGAATCTGTTCACCTGGAGTTTCGCATATAGCTTACTTTAGTTTTGTAAGAGTTATTGCCCCAGACTTACAAAACTGAAGAGGACTATAGGTTTACCGTGACCCTTATCTTAGTTTAAGATTTTAAATTTTCAAAGTTTGTCGCGCCAAACTAAAAAAGTATTGGTATATTGGTCAGCATGTGTAATTCTACATCTGGGGTTTTGCTTGTTATAAGTTTTATGCCACAGCAGCATCTAGAGGTTATAAAACTGAGATTTGAAATTAATAATATTGGGAAAAATTGGATGTCCTCTTTAGACTCGAACCACTTTGGAAAAAGTAAGGGGGAGCCGTGTTGAATTTCCTTTGTCCCATTGTCATACTGTCCTGCTGTACACCAAAAGACTGACGAAACAGTGGAGTGTGGGGGCATCCATGTCCTATAACACATTTTTAGTTATATATACCAATAACAGTGAAAAATAGGTTTATTTTCATTGTATGTATGTCTGTCTTTCTTAAGAAAAGCAGCTTTAATCATTACAACATAATTTTTTTTCTTTTGCAGGTTCACTTTTCCATGTTGCCTGTAGGCCATACCCATGAGGACATAGATGCAAGGTTTTCCCTTATTTCCCGCAGATTATACCAGAAAGATACAGAAACACTTGAAGAATTTTTAAATGTGTTAGAAAAACCAATGTTAATTAAAACAATTCACGATGTTAAATCATGGCTGATACCTTACATACCAAAATACATAAGTGGAATATCTGAACCCCTTCATTTTAAATTCGAGAAAATAGATGGTGCTGTGAGATCATTGTACAAGGGAATTCATAATGAAGAATGGAAAGAAGTTGAACATGGGTTTTTATCTAAAGTTCCAGGAGGAAAACCAAATATAGTGTCACCAGATTTCTGTAAAATTGATGAAGATGGATTGTTTAAATTAATAGAGAAAAATAAATCTTTTTTTTTAAAACCAAAAATATTTTAAATTACTGGAAGGAAACTATTCAAAGTTTAAAACAAAATACTAAAAGTGCAAAATGGATATTGCCAGCATTACCAATACAAAAGAAACATAATGAAGCCCCTTCAATGGAAATGTTACCAGAGAATGTAGAACAGCTTTTTGAAAAGGAAAAAAGAGATCCTAGGGTAATTATATTTTCTTTTTTATTTTAATTTCATCTTTAATTCAAATAAGTAGTAAGTAGCTTGCTGGCCCAATAGAGAAGCAATTAGATAAGTAATCCAGAAGTTGCTCTTCATATGAATTGATCTCTGGCATTGAATCTTATTCATTTGTCACGCACCATGGATTATAAATCATGTGTGATTAGTAGTAGTCACTTCGAGAAACTAGTAATTACTGGTTAATAGTCTGTTCTGTGGACAATGGATTTAATTTAGTTAAGACAAAAAAATGTTGAAATTGGCGTAAACAAACAAACTAAATAAGTTGACATGATGGCAAATTTAAATTGATATAAATAATGTGGAATAAAGGGTGTCTTTTTCACTATTGCGTGGAAGTGATTTAATAACATGGTAAATATAGATTCACAACACAGATTATTGGAATCATGTACTACATAATATGTTTGTCCAGGAGAAATTTAAAATGTTAAGAATTGAAGCTGCCTTTTCCCCCTGAGTGTTCGTATGACTAAATGGGTTTGAATTACTTTAGTCTATGTATCTCCTATTCCAGCAAGTGAAGTGGTTTTGACCCGTGGTGTTGCTCCAAGATGTTACACCCAAGCTTGGCATGTTTCAGTGCCATATGACCTAAATGTGTTCTTGCACTGTAAAACTAAACAAAACAATTTTTAGAATTGATTCTTCAGTATATCCCTGCTTAACGTTAATTGTGTTTGTCAGTTGAAAACCAAACGAAACAAAAATCATCAGTATGGAGGTTAAGATATGTAGCTCATCTGCTAATTTATATTAATTCTTGTGAGATATATTGTGAAACTTAAAAGTTACAAGCAGAAATACAAACATTATTATTGCCATTCAATGTAAATTCAGGTACTTACTGTCAATATAGTGAGCTCATTAAACATGATTTGGACAGTCATATTAACTCATACTTTGGTGTATGGCTCATTAAAGCATTTTCATAATTTTCATTTGTAGTATGAAGTGAATTTTCGAGAAGTTAACACAATGCCTATTTAAAACTATGATATATAATTATTATTTTCTATACAGGTGACAATCAAAGTAAAGAAGAATCCAAAACCGCCACCACCAAAGCAGACAAAAAAGAAGCAAACCGGAAATAAAAAACATGATAAAAGGAAGAAGTGTGCAAAGATTCACAGCATTCACAAATTGATTGAAATACCACTAACAAATTACATTAAAAACATATTTGGATACAGATTTTTTATGGATTTATTGTTCAGTTTTTATTTTAGTGTAATGGCTTTTTGTTTATTCTTCATTCAAATGTTGTACATGTTTCTGTTTTTTTTAATACTATAAGAGTTGCTTCTAGTTTTACAGAATATATGGTTGACAGTAATTGCATTTCATATAGGCAATATTGCATGTGCAAAACAAAACGAGAGCATGAATATATATATATTTCTGTGCCCCCACTATAGGGTAGTGGGCATTTAGATTTACCCTTGTCTGTCCGTTATCATGTTGTGACACACATTGTTTAAAGTATTTGACCTAGAATCATGAAACTTGACAGGGATATTTGTCAGCATGTGTAGGTATGCACCTGGGTATTTGTATTTGGATTTATTATTATTGCCCTTGACTAGGTAAAAACTTGCAATTTTCAACCTGGGTCACACAAAGCTCAAATGTATTTGACTTATGGTTATGAAACTTTACAGGTATGTTGCTCAGCATGTGAAGTTGTGCACCTGGGGTTTCGCTTGAATTTATTTTGTTTTGTCAGTTATTGCCCTTAGTAAAAAATTTCAATTTGTGTCGTGCATAGCTCAAAAAATATTTGACCTAGAGCCATGAAGCATAACAGAAATGTTTGTCAGCATGTGTCATTGTGCAGCTGGCCCATGTTCACAAATATTTAAGGATCAGAATCAATTATAAAATTTCAAATATGCTCCATTGTTTTTCCTCGTAGATTAAATATTTGATATTAACATGATAAAACTGGACTAGAAATAGGGTGTTAAATGAAATATTATAACAAATTTATTGGTTTTTTTTTGCAAAAACTGACCCTTATTTTGATCCAATTATTTTTGTGTTTGTTTTGATATTCATCGATATTATCCTAAAATAGGTATGTTTCTATGCAAATCATCAATTGTTTACATTTTAAATATATACCATTTAATTCTAGCAAAATACAATTGATATTAGCTATATAATTTTTTAAGCTTTGAAAATAAAATCAGGATCATTTGATCTTGTTCTGATCATTTCTTAGTGAACACGGGGCATGGGGATTTGTTTCTGGAATTACTCGGTATTTGTAGAGTGATTGCCCTTGATTTAGTAAACATTTACAATTTTCAACTTCACAATGTGTAGCTCAAAAAATATGTGACCTAGAATCCTCATGTTGATCAATATGTGAAGTTGTGCATTTTGGGTTTAGCTTGTGGATTAATTCTTGTCGGAGTTGTGGCCCTTGACTTAGTAAAAGTTGCAATTTTAAATTTGTGTTGTGTGAAGCTAAAAAGATATTTGGCCTTTTAGTCAAGAAAACTTTGTAGGAATGTTGGTCAGCATGTGTAGTTGTACACCATGGGTTTTGATTAAGAATTTGATCAGTATTTTTGGAGTTTATCGTCCTTAGATTAGTAAAAATTTGCAATTTTTAACTTGTCTTGTGTAAACCAATAAGTATTTGATCTAGAGTCATGAAGAATTTTATAGAAATATTGGTGGGCATATGTATTTCAGTATTTGTAGAGTGATTTAGTAAAAACCGTTTCAAAATGTCGAGTTGTGTTGCATGCTTTACTTAAAGTCAACCAACTTTACAGGAATATAATGTACATCACTGTGAAGCTATGCACCTGGGGTTTTGCATGTGGATTTCAATTATTTAAGTTTTGTTCACAGTTATTTCCCTTCCAGCTTTTTATTTCAAATACCATAAGAGATATTGCTGTGATAAGTATGGACCCCCCATCATGCTACATATGTATATATTTTTGTTTGTTTGCCAACTTTGAACTGTTGACTGTATTGCTCTGTTTTTTTTTATTTCTGTATTAATTAATTTTTGCAGTTTTGACAGTCTAAATATTTCATGTTATACTTTGATGTATGAACAAAAACCTCTGTCACAAGTTGAAAATAAAATGGTGATAGGTATGAACAAAATTGAAGCGGCTAATTTATGTCATTTTTTACTTTGAGTTTTATTTTGTTCAGACAATTCAAAATTACCACAAAATCACTGATTGTGATGCAATGGTCAAGAGTATGAACAAAAACCAGACGAGTTGAAAAATTAATTTTGTTATTTGGTTCATGCGTATGAAAGAAATCTAAGCAGCTTATTAATGTGCTTTTTCATTCTAAGCGTTGGTTTTGCTCAGACATATAAATTTCAAGTTTTTTCAAAATAAGAGGAAAATTACTGGAATTTTGCAGTGTTCTTACGTATGAACAAAAACCTGCCATGTTGAAAAAATGTAAATTTGTCTTATTTTTGTTCATACGTATGAACAAAATTGTATCATGTAATTTGTGTGTTATTTTTTACTTTGTGAGTTGGTTTTGTTCAGACGTCTGAACAAAATTTGTCTCAAAATAACCACAAAATTACTGAAATTATGCGGTGTTCATACGTATGAACAAAAATCTTACAAGTTGAGGAAAAACAATGTTCATACTTATAAACAAAATTGAAGCGGCTAATTATGTGTTATTTTTCACTCGATGATTTGTTTTGTTCAGACGTATGAACAAATTTTTTTTCCAAATAACTATAAAATTACTGAAATTATGCAGTGTTCAGACATATGAACAAAAAACTTAACAAGTTGAGGGAAAAAATTGTTCATATGTATGAACCAAATTGATGCGGCTAATTTATGTGTTATTTTTCACTCTGAGCTTGTTTTGTTCAGACGTCTGAACAAAATTTGTTTAAAAATAACCACATAATGAATTTTTATGCAGTGTTCATACATATGAGCAAAATTAAGGTGGCTTATTTGTGTGCTATTTTTTGGTCTGTCAGTTCATTTTGTTCAGACATCTGAACAAATTTGTTTCAAAATAACCTCAATATTACTGAAATGATGTTGTGTTCATACGTATGAACAAAAACCTGCCATGTTGAAAATGTTAATTTTTTTTGTTTAGACGTATGAACAGATTTGTTTCAAAATAAGCACAAAATAACTGAAATGCTGTTTTGTTCATACGTATGAACAAAAACCTGCCATATTGAAAACTACTTTTTATTTTTGTTCATACGTATGAACAAAATTGTATCGTGTAATTTATGTGCTATTTTTCACTCTGTGAGTTTGTTTTGTTCACACGTATGAACATTTTGTTTTGAGAAAAAAACACAAAATGACAGAAATTATGCAGTGTTCATACGTATGAACAAAAATCTTCCATGTTCGAAAATGTTAAATTTGATTTACTTTTGTTCATACGTATGAACAAAATTAAAGCGGCTAATGTATGTGCTATTTTTTGTCTGTCAGTTCATTTTGTTCAGACGTATGAACAAATTTGTATCAAAATAACCTCAAAATTACTGAAATGATAGTGTGTTCATACGTGTGAACAAAAACCTGCCTTTTTGAAAATGTTGATTTTTTTTTTGTTCATACGTATGAACAAAATTGTATCATGTAATTTATGTGTTATTTTTCACTCTGTGAGTTGGTTTTGTTCAGACGTCTGAACAAATTTGTTTCAAAATAACCACAAAATTACTGAAATGATGTTGTGTTCATATGTGTGAACAAAAACCTGCCATGTTGAAAATGTTATTTTTTTTTTGTTCATACGTATGAACAAAATTGTATCATGTAATTTATGTGTTATTTTTCAGTCTCTGAGTTGGTTTTGTTCAGACGTCTGAACAAATTTGTTTCAAAATAACCATAAAATTACTGAAATGAT